GCCAGGAAACTGCAACTCTGGTAATCAAAACTGGCAATGGCCGCAATGACACAATGAGTGTTGTTTTGGCTTCTGGGCGTATCGGCCACTATCCGTTGAATCTGTTGAATCTGTTTACGAACTTTTCAGGATTATCCCAATGATCCCATTCAAGTGGGAAGAGATATGTACCATTCAAGGCGACAAATTCCGCAGCTATGTCAGCTATGTCAGCACCACAGATCTGCAACACTTCCGCAGCGATTTGAAACAATGGCCCTTCGACCACCCCTGGTGCGCTCAACAACATGACAACCTGAAAAGGGTGCGCTTTATGCCTGGCCGACCCAGGATGAGGGTCTCTCAAGATGTTCCTATCTTGATCAACATGACAACCACCGTCACAGCATCACCTTTGGTAGATAAATTGATAATCAAATGTAATTAATTGGTCGAAGGAAGTTTAGAAGCAAACTTCCGACAATATGGAGAGATGAAAAAGCAGTCAGCAGGGAGAAGAGTCAGAAGAGAAAAGATCAGAAGAAAGAAGATGCAGGTGCGCGAAAAGGTAGGAAAGTCGCGAAACACTTGTTTTTTCGTGGTTTTGTGGCTCCGGAGGGTTGAAAAGTAGGCTCGCTAAAGCGGCGGGTGCGGAGACATCTGGGGAGATGAGAGATGAAAAGTTGCACGCTCTTGTGGCGCGAAGCCGATTTCGAAGTGAAAAGGTACAAAACACCTCAGGATCGGACCACTTTTGGAAGTTGAGATGTTGAAAAAGTGCACGGCGTTGTGGCGCGAAGCACATTTGGAAGTAAAATGTGTTAAAAACTGAGGGGTTCGGAGCAGCTTTGGAAGTTGAGATGACGAAAAAGTGCACGGCGTTGTGGCGCGAAGCACATTTGGAAGTAAAAAGTGTTAAAAACTGGCGGTCTCGGAGCACTTCCTTTTGGAAGTTGAGATGTCGAAAAAGTGCACGGCGTTGTGGCGCGAAGCACATTTCGAAGTCAAAAGTGTTAAAAACTGGCGGTCTCGGAGCACTTTTGGAAGTTGAGATGTCGAAAAAGTGCACGGCGTTGTGGCGCGAAGCACATTTGGAAGTAAAAAGTGTTAAAAACTGGCGGTCTCGGGGCACTTTCTTTTGGAAGTTGAGGTGTCGAAAAAGTGCACGGCGTTGTGGCGCGAAGCACATTTGGAAGTAAAAAGTGTTAAAAACTGGCGGTCTCGGAGCACTTTCTTTTGGAAGTTGAGATGTCGAAAAAGTGCACGGCGTTGTGGCGCGAAGCACATTTCGAAGTCAAAAGTGTTAAAAACTGAGGGTCTCGGAGACATTTTGGACGTTCAGACGTCGTTTTGTGTGGCAGGTGGAGTGGAATGCGCATCCACTGAAAAGTGACTAAAACATCGAGAGATAAATCGAAAGATGGGTGGCTAGATAGAGAGACAGATCGATCAATAGACAGGTAGATGGATCGACAGATGGACACATAGATCGCTAGATCGAAAGATCGCTAGAAGCGTCGATGACCAGATAAACGCACGGGTAGCTAGATAGATGGATGGATGGCTGGAAGAAGAGGTAGACGGACAGATGCATGGATGAATCGATAGAGAAACAGAACGAAGAACATGGTGATGGATAGCTGTGGACATGGATCGATGAAGAGATGGACGGAAAAAAAACTAACAGAGTAAGTGGATGGATGAATGGCTGGATAGACAGAAAGATAGACAGTTTAATAGATAGGTGAATAAACAAATCGATCGATAGATACATGAATAGACAGGTAGATAGGTAGATGGCTAGAAAGGTAGCTCTGTAGATAGATGGCGAAAGAGAGACACAGAGAGAAAGAGAGAAAGAGAGACAGAAAGGGAGAAACACTCAGCCACCTTTCAATCCATCAGTGGGTTCGCTCTGCCATTTTTGCGTCACACCAACTCACCTCTCCTATAGGTTTTCCATTTTTGAAACTTCCGCCACCGCCTTGTGCGGTCCTACTGGTAAGTATCTATACTACATAGACAAACATATACATATATATATATATTATTGGTTCAGTAACTACTATGCCCAAGCAAAATGAATGGTTTCATACTAAATACCACCAGCCTTTCCAGCACACCACAGTACAGTACCCGGGCTTTACATCACACTCACTGAGACGAGCAGGAAGCCTGGGGCTGGTCATGGGTTAAAACCAAACGGTACCCGGATGGTACCCTAAGTCATAGCTGGTCAATTGGTTAATGGATGGTTATTGCCCCAAATATGGTAACAATTGCGCGTTAATGGATGGTTATTTCCCCAAATATGGCAGTAATGGCTGGTTAATGGATGGTTTTCCCCCCAAATATGGTAACAATGCTGGTTAATGGATTGTTATTCCCCCAAATATGGCAATAATGGCTGGTTGACGGATGGTTTTTCCCCCAAATATGGTAACAATGCTGGTTAATGGATTGTTATTCCCCCAAATATGGCAATAATGGCTGGTTAATGGATGGTTTTCCCCCCAAATATGGTAACAATGCTGGTTAATGGATTGTTATTCCCCCAAATATGGCAATAATGGCTGGTTGATGGATGGTTTTTCCCCCAAATATGGTAACAATGCTGGTTAATGGATTGTTATTCCCCCAAATATGGCAATAATGGCTGGTTGATGGATGGTTTTTCCCCCAAATATGGTAACAATGCTGGTTAATGGATTGTTATTCCCCCAAATATGGTAATTTCATAGGTTTTGACCCATCTCCAAATGAGTATTTTGAGCAAAAGAAACGTGATTGAAGCAACGGCAACTGCACTTTAAGCACAACGAAAACGGTGATCAAACACGGGAATGAATCCAACACACCATGACGATGTCAGAATCGAAAAAAACTCGATCTGGAGTTTGGTCCTGGGAAGTGAATCAATATGGGTTTGTCTGAGAATAGGATACCCCATTCAATCTCATGTTTGATCATCATGTTGGTCATAAAAATGGCCATAGACTGGCGTTGAATTCCTCATTTTCGGAGAAACCCGAATTCTGCTATACCGTTTTTTATGGCCTCTGGTGTGGCTGCATTGATTTCTAACAGAAGCACTGGAAGTTCGGCACTGCAATTCCAAACTGGTATACAGTATACCAGTTTTTTAGATGAACTGGATGAACTCCAGGACCCCAGAATGAACATGAAGCAGCAACCACAAAACAGTAGGAAAAAAAAACTCCGCGTTCCACCATCAAAACAATATGCTTGGTACAGTCGGGTTTCCCCCCATTCGTGGGAGGGCATTCCCGATAAGCAAGTCAACAGCCACAAGAGTGTTTAGCCCAACGGCATCAGCAAATGGGACATGTACCAGTTTTTTTTTCCTTACTTTAAATATGTTTATATGTTTACAGTATTTGATATTTGATTCATCCTGTGATCTTGTCACAAAGATGTGCTGTCAGCTGTCTGTTTTCAGACGTCGTTCCAAAAAAATGATTCACCGATTCGCATGATCAACCCATGGCAAGTTCAGTGAGGAATTCTGGATTCATTGTCTCCCTTGGCGACTTTGGGGTGCAGATCCAGCATTAAATTATAGTGGTTTCTGATGGTTTATATAGGGGATTCCTGAAGTGGGGACCCCAAAGACATCAAAAGTGTTTCCATCCCGATTTTGAGAAACACCTGCGAACTGGAGAGGAAATGGCTATGAGTCAAAACCGTGGCACCCCAGGTACCCTGAGTCATAGCTGGTTAATGGATGGTTATTCCCCCCAAATATACGGTCACAATGGCTGGTTAATGGATGGTTATTCCCCCCAAATATACGGTCATAATGGCTGGTTGATGGATGGTTATTCCATGTTATTCCCATACCCCAATCACAATGGGTATACCCATTTTTTCCAACTGCCCGGCCAGTCTCATTAAGTCCCCGGGACCCAGCGAGATGCCAAGAGCAGCCGCGTTGCCCGAATCCGTCTTTCCCTAAGGTGGTGCCAGATGGCTCTGAAAATGGGGGATGACCCTCTGGTAAACTAACTGTTTGCTATGGAAAATTGCCATTGATAGTTGATTTACCTATTAAAAATGGTGATTTTCCATAGAAAACTGTTAGTTAGTTTACCAGACAGTAACTCCCCAAATCACGAATTCTGTGGAGAAAATGATATGTTCAGACCAACCCAGATGGTATCGTAGGTTTGGTACCTGAAAATATCGGGGAAAAAAAAGACATCGGCCCAAAAATCAATTTTCAGCATCAAAATTGATGACCATGGGGTCATCCCCCACCTTAAGAAACACCCAATTGGATATGGTTGGTTGTATATCCCATTATATCACCATGTTTCCTTGTTGAACCACCACTTGAGTCAGGCAATTTCTTAAAATGGGGGCTCCCCAAGTCACCATGATTTTCAATACCTAACTATGGTCTACTTTCATTTATTATTTAGGTACCCCTATGAATTTAAAACCTCCATATGTTAAAGTTCCCATTTTAAGGCGAAGCCGTACCTTTCGACCGGCTTCTGGAGATTCCAAACTTGGTTCGACCGGCAAAAGTTGAGATTGCTGTTTTTTCCCGCTGGCATGTTGTGGATGTTAATGTGCAATAATAATCCCGAGTAGAATAGAATACGTTCACATAGGTAGATAGATAGATAGATAGATAGATAGATAGAGCTAGTTAATTACTGACTTAATTGTTCATTTGTTAAAATAAATATACAGTATAATATATATATATATACATATACATATACATATACATATTATACCTATACATATACATATACATATTATATATATATACATATACATATGCATGTGTATAGAGAGAGAGAGAGAGTGATAGAACCAGTAAATGGATGCATGAATGGCTGCATAGATGAATGGATAGATGGATTTATCCCTCCTGGTGGCATCTCTCCAGCATAAAACAACAAACATGAAACAACCAACAAGGTAATGATGATGTCAAAATCAAGATGGGAATGGCAAGAAAAGAGTTGGATAACGCATCTTGAAAGCGACTAGCCAACCCAACCAACTTCGTAATGAAAAATAGCATGTGGTAGGAAAACCCACAAAATTGTCAAAATTGTGATTTCTGATAGGAAAATGAAATCATTCAGCACCCCAATCTTGCCCCTGAGCCCCCGAGCTGGTGTGGTGGTGCTGCTTGGTGGTGGAGGTGGAGGTGGAGGGGATGGTCCCCCGGAATCATCGGTGGTGCTGGTGTCGTCATCATCGTCTTCCATGGTGGTGGTTTCGGTCACGGTCATGTTCGGGTTCGGGTTCATGCTGGTGGTCATCGTGTCGGAATGGTTGCCACCATTGCCATTGGCCACAGTGAAGCCTCTCAACTTTCCTTGGGCGTTCGGAGCATCCCAAGGAAAGGGATACAAATACTGAAGTAGATGAAGTAGAAGCAGCAACAACAAGTCTTTGAGTGATTTTCAATGGTCAGCAGCACTGCTCTCATACCTGAGATTCTAATCTTGGTTGAAATCGCCCAAGAAATTGGAAATCTGAACAACAGCAACTTTCAACCAGGAACTTTGCATTCCAATCTTCCTGGAATATAGGTCTGGGTTCCAGTGTACGTAGGGTCAAAGCGCCGAATCTACACCAACCGCACAAGGTGAAGAGTGCCAAAAAAAGGGGTGGGCCAGAGCGAAGCAAAATGGGACGGACAACCTCCCACCACAAGGCGAAAATCAGTCCTGGTGTATCAAAAACTGTATGAAACCGCCAGAAGTTCGATTCTATCACACCTTGCCCAAAGTAAGTATGTCCCCAATATCAAAATTTCTTCATGAAGTCCAAAATGATTTTGCCAACCCCAACTCGAACTTTCAACTGAGCAACTGAAGGAAGTGCCGTCGATCCAGTTGCTGCTGTCCCTAATTTCTGTCAGCAGTTCGTCCTGGCTGCTCAGGTTGACAGCCCCAGATTGGTTCCACCAAAAAAATGCCAAAAAGATGCGGAGTTTGACTGGCTCCGTGCGAATTTCCGGAAGGTCTTGGTATAGTTTCCGACTTGTTGCTGGATCGAGCTCCTGGTGAAATCAACTATTTAAATTCCTCATTTTCTGTTGGGGAACTCCCTCATTTTCCGATATTTCTCTGGCTGAAAATCCCAGATTGCTACTTAGATGTTGATTACATAAATTACCTAAATTACCTAAATCCTAAATCCCCCCGTTTTGGCTGCTTAAAATCCCATTCTTTGCAACTCCCGAAACCCGAAACGGCTCACCTTGGTTCCACTGGTGGATCCCACATAAGTCGCTGTGTCGCTCTGGACTGAGACCACATTCAACTGGCGCGAGAAGTCACAGGGTCACAGGGTCACGGTGCAGCGGGCGGAAAGTTTGTTGGAGTTTGTTGGGTGATGATGGTCATGTCAACCCTGGGTTTTTTATGGTTTTCTGGACCCTGGTTGATGAAAATGAGGCGGCTTCATCTGAAATTTAAAAAATGGTACCCCCGCAATTCGACAACCCAGAGGTAGGTTTATTAATCCGGGGTCAACAGTATTGGATACTATTGGTATTTACCAGTTAAAGCCAACAACGTGGGTATTTCCCCCACAAGAACTGTGTTTGGTACCTGAAAATGTTGTGAAAACCCAGTCCATCCACTGGTTAAGAACCTTCTTTTCTCCATTAGACTTGCTGTAAATGGGGCTATCCCGATTTTCAGAGACACCCTACTGGACAGGACCCTTTTCTATCATTTCCATAATCCAGCGGCTGTCATGAAACATGGGAGTTGTGGGAAAATCTGGCTAAGTCACGTCAAAAAAGTATAGCAACCCCGAAAAAGATAGAAAAACAATGTCTATGGGGTTGCTACTATAGTTGATTATTTACTATGGCTAAGTCACATCAGAAAAGTATAGCAACCTATGGGGATGACCCGCTGGATAAAATAATTGCAAATGACTTTTCTATCCTTTTGGGGGGCTACTTAGCGACCATGCGGGATGGATCCAAAACAATGCTACCCCAAAAATGAAGGGTGGAAGAAGGTAAACCCTACCACCCTCTGGTAATGACCAACAATTTGTTACGGAAAATATGTATGAAAATGGTTCATTTGTAGATTATTTGTAGATGATCTGGTCCAGAAACAGTGTAATTCTCCAGTTCGCAAACTGCGCAAACTAGGCCTCCTGCAGCATTCGAGCGCTAGCGCCTGAAGGGGAGACTCTGCGGGACAACCGTGTTTTTAAATGTTCTTAATGTGGCCATATGTGGCCTTTTTTTGGCGCCATCAACCATCCCCATGAACAGATGGGTGGTAAAAATTTGATAAACCCTCCAAAATTGGAGTTTTATGGCATTGGGTTTGCCACAGGCCCGCATCAAACATGAGGGGTTCCCTCAACTAATTCTGGTGGATAACCTTGCCTGACATCTAGAAGACTGATATGGGTCTGGATGAAATTGGTGTACACAATTGACGTGGGAACCCTACTGTCCCTTTGGCCGACTTGGGCCATGGTGATTCTGCTGGGAAGTGGGGCTGTGTCCAAGATATTCAGCGCATTCATGGGGAGATAGGAGTATTTGGATGTGCCTGAAAATATTGGACTAAGATGGACTAACGCCAGAAATTGCGAATTTTTGTAGGGAAAATTGGGTTTTGAACCAGAAGATTTTGAGGTACCAGAGGACCTCACTCGCAAAGCCATTTCCTCGATTCCAGCAACTTCAACAAGAAATTCAGAAGTCTGATTAGAAGAAGGCGTCTCCAACGAACCCCATGCCATATGGAGATGCTTTAAAAAAGACGGCAAGAATGGATTTAAAAAAAAAAAGAAAAACTTTACGTGGCAGAGAACACTTGAGTCATTCAAGAAACTTCCATGTGGGCTTGCCCAGAAATGGGATATACCCCAAACAGGCAACTTCAAGGGCAAAAATGATGACAACCATCGGATTGTAGGCTGTCCTATTCGCAGACAAACCCATATGATTTCGTGGCCAATTTCATGTGCGATTTACATCTCACCCCTGGGCTTCGCTTGTTCTTCTATCTGATTCTATCTCCCAAAACGCTCAAACTGAGCTTCCAAAGCCCTAAAATACGGTGGGTGGAAGAAATCCTGCACCAGTTGATAGATGGTTTATCCCACTATTTATAGGGTTTCAACAATCCTTTTGGGTGCGGGATTTCGCAACCATCCACACTAGGTTCTCAAAAATCATCACTCAGCCTCCCGGGCCCCTTCCATTCTCACGGTCGCCTGGTTTTTCGTTCAACCTGATACTACACAAGATGCTGGGAGATGAGGGGCTGCCGCTAAATGCCGTGATGGCCAAGGGCGCCACCAGTGACCTGAGACACGGAATCCTGGAGTACCAGAAATTGGGTGTTTCATCTTGGAACCCCCAAGAAAATAGAAGTTGGTAAGATCTAAGCTTAAAATTGTGATAAAGTATGATAAAGTCATAAAGTACAACTATCTGCACCTTTTTGGAGTATTGAAAAAAAATGGAATGGGATTAGCAGACCAGTTAAAAGCATCTCATTCCGTGCCCCATTTTGATCTCCACAAATGAAGTATAATGAAGGTATCACACAAAGCACCAATAAAGCGGATGATGGTCGTTTCATGTTGGTTGAAGCTGCTGGAGAGAGGAATTTGACCAACGACACTCCAGTTCGGTGATCCGTTATGCTTAGGAGTTGTTGGTGGCCAAGTCCCAACTGATAAACCCAAACATGATTGCCAGGGTCACCGAGTTGACCGGTGAAATTCCCGCAAAATGTTCGACAGATGGATCATTTCCGACATCAAACCACGACTGATCTTAGGTGTCAATGAGCTGGGAAGCAAATTCTGATGGGTGACAGGTACTATTTGCCCAGCGTTTCGCCCTCTATATCCAAGAACCTGTGCGAAAATCGACAGCTAACTTAGCAGAGCTTCTCACTGCTGAGTCATGAGTCCCCAACCACCCAACGCTTAGTTAGCCCCAAACACAGCCATGTCACGCTTCGCTGGTCACAAAGTCTTCCTTCCGAAGCACCTAAGATGGTCCAGTGCTTGGCAGTGGTGCCCCTGTGGTGGTGACCATCTTTAGTAATGTGTTTTCTCATAGTGGCAATAAACCACGGGGGTTTAACTTATTAACCGTGCTTAACCAACCAGAGAAAGTGGAGATATGATATCAACATATATCAACAATGTAACAATAACCAACCGTCACTTAACGAAATGCAGAGACCAGGCTTTCAAAGGGCCCGAAAGAAGATTCACGAGGGCAGTTTGCAAATTTGGAATGAAAAGACCAAATAGTTGGTTGAATGATTGCCAAGATATGCAATGAGGCCATTCTGAAACCTTGGATGTGCAAACCATTTGCTAAGTAGGATCATAACCTGTACAGGTTCAGAGGCTTTAAGCTTCTGTTCCAGATATCGGCAACTGGTATCGGTACCCTCTTTCGCATCCATCCCAGCAATTTTAACTCCCGTTCCAATCACCAGACAGGTTGCAGTACCCCTCTTGGCATCCTTCACCTTGTCCTTTCCTTCAATAAACTTGCTCACCTCAGCATGACCCTATATATGTGTGCTGCCCAAGGCTGAACCAACATGACTCAACGAAGATCCTGAAGCAAAGGCCTGTAAAACCCTCCTAATGTCATCAAGGGATCCTACCCAAATGTCCATGATTTTCAGGGTGTTATTTTTTTCGGCAAACCCCCAGCCATATCGACATTTCGCTCCCCGTCTATACTATATCCTAGCAATTGTGAAGATATAACCCCATGTACACCATTCCGGTTGTGAGCAGCCATAACCCAGGAAAAATTTCTCAACTTGTCCCATTAGAATCAGAATATGGTGATAAATTGGGGCCCATCGTATGTCTGTCTGTCTGTCTGTCTGTATGTATGTATGTATGTATGTATGTATCTAAGTATGTAACGTATGTAACGTATGTAACGTATGTAACGTATGTAACGTATGTAACGTATGTAACGTATGTACCGTATGTACCGTATGTACCGTATGTAACGTATGTAACGTATGTAACGTATGTAACGTATATACCGTATGTAACGTATGTAACGTATGTAACGTATGTAACGTATGTAACGTATGTAACGTATGTAACGTATGTAACGTATGTAACGTATGTAACGTCTGTAACGTCTGTAACGTGTGTAACGTGTGTAACGTGTGTAACGTGTGTAACGTGTGTAACGTAGGTAACGTAGGTAACGTAGGTAACGTAGGTAACGTAGGTAACGTATGTAACGTATGTAACGTATGTAACGTATGTAACGTATGTAACGTATGTAACCTATGTAACCTATGTAACCTATGTAGCCTATGTAACCTATGTAACCTATGTAACCTATGTAACCTATGTAACCTATGTAACGTATGTAACGTATGTAACGTATGTAACCTATGTAACCTATGTAACTTATGTAACCTATGTAACCTATGTAACCTATGTAACCTATGTAACCTATGTAACCTATGTAACCTATGTAACCTATGTAACCTATGTAACCGATGTAACCTATGTAACCTATGTAACCTATGTAACGTATGTAACGTATGTAACGTATGTAACGTATGTAACGTATGTAACGTATGTAACGTATGTAACGTATGTAACGTATGTAACGTATGTAACGTATGTAACGTATGTAACGTATGTAACGTATGTAGGTATGTATGTATGTATGTATGTACGTATGCATGCATGCATGCATGCATGCACGTACGTACGTACGTACGTGGCTGGTAGTCAGAAATGCTTCAAAGACCTTGCAAATACGAGGCTGGACCTCAGAAATGCTGCCAATAGCTTGCAAATAGAAGGGAGGGGGTGCTACCTGGGGACCCATCCCATGGGGGGTGGGAACACGGGACACGGGACCATACATATGTATGTATGTGTGTGTGTGTGTGCATATCCGATATGGGTCAAAAGCTATGTTCCCCTCTTGTCAATGGTTGAACCTCTGATTTGGGCATGAAATCCCAATACCCTCCAGTACTAAAACGTGTCAGTGAATACTCCCCTATTTCCAGATGATTTTCCTATACAATCTATACATGTATATATACTTATATATAACTCCCATGGCCCCTGAGTACATAAGGATTTCCCGAAACTGGGCCACCCGAGGTGCTTTGCGGGTACTCTGCAACTCTTCAGTCAAATAGATCTGCTCATCCGCATCTTCAAGCAAAACCAAGGCAAAATCGTCCTGAAAAAAACAAAGTCACGTTTTAAACGTCAAAAAATGACGAGTTGACCAATGAAAAAATCTCGCAGAAAAATTGATGCGATCTGATGCATTTCATGGTCACTGGGTTGTGTTGAGAAAATTCACAGGGGACCACGGTTTGGAGCCTCAAGTTTTCGAGATCCACGGGTAGCTGGGTGCAAAACCTTGATAGCCCAGTGAATATGCAAGAATAGCTGGGATTGATGAATGTTCATCCCACCAAGTATGGTGACTTGGATGTGCGGGACCTAGGCAAGCAACTCATTTGTATGTATTTGTGTATATATATATATGTGCTTGTGTACACATATACACGTATATATGTATGTATATACCATGTATGTATGTATGTCTGTCTGTCCGTCCGTCCGTCCGCCTGTATGTATGTATGTATGTTTCTATGTGTCTATGTGTCTATGTGTCTATGTGTCTATCTGTCTATCTGTCTATGTGTCTATGTGTCTATGTGTCTATGTGTCTATGTGTCTATCTGTCTATGTGTCTATGTGTCTGTGTGTCTGTGTGTCTGTGTGTCTGTGTGTCTGTCTATGTGTCTGTGTGTCTGTGTGTCTGTGTGTCTGTGTGTCTGTGTGTCTATGTGTCTATGTGTATATGTGTATATGTGACAAACACAACCACTCAGACGATCGCTGTGTTTCGCAAAGGTACCACCAAGCGACATTCGGTAGCCGGAGAATCCCTCAACTAGGCTTTGTTTGTTAGTGGGTACATTTGGAGGAAGCAACAAACTGGGAATTCAACTGGGATGTCCATCCTTGGCAAAAAATGATAAAAAAAATGTATGGCCACAGACACCATGATACTTATTCCAGTTGCTTTATATGCAAGTTAGACAAACCACGTTCTAACAGGGATATAGTACATATATAGTTTTGTGGAAGATGACAAAACCAGTTCGCTGCAACCTGGACGTTTGCCCGGAGTTGATGTCCCGCAATCAACGTATTGTTCAGAGCGGGTGGCTAATTTTGATCCCTTGTGATGATCAGGTGATATTGTTTCCTCATGAAGATAAACTGTATTCAAGGTATCTTTCACATGCCACTGTGGCCTAATTTTCCCCCTTGGCCTTGCTTGGATTCGCAACTTCCCAGCAACACAGAATTGTCTCTGTTATGTCACAATGATGAGTCTGGGCGAACGTTAAGGTTGCGGACAACCAGTTTTTTTGGGGGGGGTGGATTCTGGGGATGTACATATTCTAGCGCTCCAACATGGAAATTCGGAAAAGCCTTCAGCAGTAGCAACCCATGGCCCGTGGACTCCTTGTCACCATAGATCCCCACGAAGGCGCAGTCTCCTAGCGCCAGAGTGGCTTGGAAAAATCTGGGATACCTCGTGGTTCTTCATCGTCATCAGCGCAGCACCGCCACCATCACAATACACATGGATGTGTATAATAATTGTGTGCAAATATAAATATAAATATAACCTGAGAAGGGGGGAACGAAAGCCAGCATCCCATCTACCCCTATTTTCCACCATACTTTTCACCCAGAGACTCTTCAATACATTTCACCCATATACTTTTCACCCAGAGATTTTTCACCCAGAAACTCTTCTTGCACAGGCTTTTCACCCATATACTTTTCACAAAGAGACTCTTCACCCAATTTTTTTTCTTGCACATACTTTTCGCCCATATACTTTTCACCCAGAGATTCTTCACCCAGAAACTCTTCTTGCACAGACTTTTCACCCAGAGACTCTTCACCCAGAAACTCTTCTTGCACATACTTTTCACCCATATATACTTTTTACCCAGAGACTTCACCCAGAAACTCTTCTTGCACATACTTTTCACCCAGATACTTTTCACCCAGAGACTCTTCACCCAGAAACTCTTCTTGCACATACATGTCACCCATATACTTTTCACCCAGAGATTCTTCACCCAGAAACTCTTCTTGCACAGACTTTTCACCCAGAGACTCTTCACCCAGAAACTCTTCGTGCACATACTTTTCACCCATATACTTTTTACCCATATACTTTTCACCCAGAGACTCTTCACCCAGAAACTCTTCTTGCACATACTTTTCACCCATATACTTTTCACCCAGAGACTCTTCTTGCACATACTTTTCACCCATATACTTTTCACGCAGAGACTCTTCACCCAGAAACTCTTCTTGCACATACTTTTCACCCATATACTTTTCACCCAGAGACTCTTCTTGCACATACACCCTTTCACCCAGAAACTCGTTTCACCCATATACACAGAAACTCTTCTTGCACATACTTTTCACCCATATACTTTTCACCCAGAGACTCTTCACCCAGAAACTCTTCTTGCACATACTTTCACCCATATACTTTTCACCCAGAGACTCTTCACCCAGAAACTCTTCTGCACATACTTTTCACCCAGAGACTCTTCACCCAGAAACTCTTCTTGCACATACTTTTCACCCATAATACTTTTCACCCAGAAACTCTTCTTGCACATACTTTTCACCCAGAGACTCTTCACCCAGAAACTCTTCTTGCACATACTTTTCACCCATATACTTTTCACCCAGAGACTCTTCACCCAGAAACTCTTCTTGCACATACTTTTCACCCATATACTTGAGACTCTTCACCCAGAAACTCTTCTTGCACATACATGTCACCCATATACTTTTCACCCAGAGATTCTTCACCCAGAAACTCTCCTTGCACAGACTTTTCACCCAGAGACTCTTCTTGCACATACTTTTCGCCCATATACTTTTTACCCAGAACTCTTCACCCAGAAACTCTTCTTGAACATACTTTTCACCCATATACTTTTCACCCAGAGATTCTTCACCCAGAAACTCTTCTTGCACATACTTTTCACCCATATACTTTTCACCCAGAGACTCTTCACCCAGAAACTCTTCTTGCACATACTTTTCACCCAGAGACTCTTCACCTAGGAACTCTTCTTGCACATACGTTTCACCCATATACTTTTCACCCAGAGACTCTTCACCCAGAAACTCTTCTTGCACATACTTTTCACCCATATACTTTTCACCCAGAGACTCTTCACCGAGAAACTTTTCTTGCACATATTTTTCACCCATATACTTTCACCCAAAGACTCTTCTTGCACCTACTTTTCACCCATGTACTTTTCACCCAGAGACTCTTCACCCAGAAACTCTTCTTGCACATATAATGGTCCCACATCGGAGCCTCAATTTTACTTTTCACCCATATACTTTTTACCCATATACTTTTCACCCAGAGACTCTTCTTGCACATACTTTTCACCCATATACTTTTCACCCAGAGACTCTTCACCCAGAAACTCTTGCACATACTTTTCACCAATATACTTTTCACCCAGAGACTCTTCACCTAGAAACTTTTCTTGCACATATTTTTCACCCATATACTTTCACCCAGAAACTCTTCTTGCACATACTTTTCACCCATATACTTTTCACATCCCCTACTAGATTAAGTGGGGGGGTTGGGTGCCCCCATTTTATAGTACTAAAACGGGGGCACCCATCCCCCCCCGGAGTGGGACCTCTATAAAATGGAAACACCCAAGGTCACAAAACAGGTGCACCTCTATAAAATAAGAAATTTATTTGAAAAAGCAAATATTTACAGCTACAAATTTACTGCAAAACCCTCCATCACTATAAAATGGGAGGCCCCAACGTACCCTGGAGCCTAGCCTTAAAATGAAGGAACTAGCCAACTTTCTACTATAGAATAGGAACCCCCAACCCCCTGTATCTTACAACATCCAAAAATGAATGGTTTCTTGAGGGGTTGGGTGCTCTGATTTTATAGAGATTACATGCCCTTCCTGGTAGGATTTTCTGGGGGTTGGGGGTTTCCATTTTATAGTGCCGCAGCCTCCCCACATCCTCCCACCATCATCGCCCCAAAGACACCACATTTTTTTTTAGCCCGGGACGTCCCAAAGCCAAGGGATGCTGACACAAAGACCAAGACTTATTTTCTGGTAGTTTTCCATTGGTCCCATGCTGTCCCATGTCCCAAAAGCCAAGGGATGTCGACAAAAAGACTGGTATCGACGGAGCTGGGTATTTTGGGGCAGCTGGGTATTTTTTTGGGTGGGATGGAGATAGTTTTCCATTTTATAGTGGTCCCATGCTGTCCCATGTCCCAAAAGCCAAGGGATGTCGACAAAAAGACTCCAAGCTGAGTATTTTGTTGTGTCGACAGAGCTTGGTATTTTTGGGGCAGCTGGGTATTTTAGGGTAGGATGGAAAAGAAAATCCATTTTATAGTGGTCCCATGCTGTCCCATGTCCCAAAAGCCAAGGGATGTCGACAAAAAGACTGGTATCGACGGAGCTGGGTATTTTGGGGCAGCTGGGTATTTTTTTGGGTGGGATGGAGATAGTTTTCCATTTTATAGTGGTCCCATGCTGTCCTACGTCCCAAAAGCCAAGGGATGTCGACAAAAAGACTCCAAGCTGGGTATTTTGTTGTGTCGACAGAGCTGGGTATTTTTGGGGCAGCTGGGTATTTTAGGGTAGGATGGAGAAAAATAATTTTATAGTGGTCCCATGTTGTCATGTCCCGAAGCCAAGGGATGTCGACAAAAAGACTCCAAACTTGGTGTTTTGTGGTATCGACAGAGCTAGGTATTCTGGGGCAGCTGGGTGCTTTCGGGCAGGATAGGTGGAGAAAGTTGTCTATTTTATAGTGGTCCCATGCTATCATGTCCCGAAGCCAAGGGATGTCGACAAAAAGACTCCAAACTGGGTGTTTTGTGGTATCGACGGAGCTGGGTATTTTGGGGCCACTCGGTATTTTAGGGTAGGATGGAGAAAGTTTTCCATTTTAGTGGTCCCATGTTGTCAGGGATGTCAAATCTGAAAACTCCAAGCTGGGTATTTTGTTGTATCGACAGAGCTAGGTATTTTTGGGGCAGCTGGGTATTTTTTTGGGTGGTTTTCCACTTTATAGTGGTCCCATGCTGTCCTATGTCCCAAAAGCCAAGGGATCAATTTTACTTGGCATCATTTTACCCTCTCCCTATTCTTTCCACCGTTTTTCCTCGCGTATCAATTTTCCAAGCGTTCTACTCAAATTTTCCATTGCTTTCCCATTTTTTCCATTGTTTTATATCATAGTCTCTCATTTTTTCCATTGTTTTTCTCATCATTTTCCCCTCCTTTCCCATTTTTTCCCATTGTTTTATGTCATATTCCCTCATTTTTCCATTGTTTTTCTCATCATTTTCCATCATTTTTCCCTCCTTTCCCATTTTTTCCCATTGTTTTATATCATATTCCCTCATTTTTTCCATTGTTTTTCTCATCATTTTCCCCTCCATTGCAATCTCCCCAAGTCCACCTCGGAGGGCGGACCAGGGGGGAATCGATACCCCACCGTCACCCAATTGCCACCTGGTACATAACCCTAAAAAACTTTACCTGTGGCCACCTTTTTTACCACCTAATTTCCCGATTTTTGGCCAGTTCAGGGCGCTCTGCCCCCAGACCCCCTTAACTCACTTTGTTCGCAAAAAGAACTTCGCCTAGCCTAGCGGCTGGCTTTCGTGACTAGAAGAATGAGATTTATAACAGATGGTCAAAAATATGATCAGTATTTGAAGTTAGGTCAATCGGCGAGGCAGCAAAGGACCATAAGAATGCACTAAATCTTGAGCGGATAAGGTATGCTGCCCATCTTGCTAACAAGTACCATCATGGAACTTCTGCACATCACATGGTGTTAATCAAAACGGCCATTTTTCCATTGCTTTTCCAATGTTTCACGCGTGCTTTACGTGACTTGGCATCATTTTACCGTCTCCTCATTGTTTCCACCGTTGTAATCAATTTTCCAAGCGTTCTACTCAAATTTGCCATTGCTTTCCCATTCTTTTCCCATTGTTTTACGTCATATTCCCTCATTTGTTCATTGTTTATCCCAAATTTCAGACATATGGCATTGTTTATCCCAAAATTTGGGCAAAAACTGAACTTCTGCACTTCACATGTGTGTCATCTCCTCATATCGAAACTGCAATTTTTCCATTGCTTTTCCATTACGCGATACTGGTCCCACATCGGAGCCTCAATTTTACTTGGCATCATTTTACCCTCTCCCTATTCTTTCCACCGTTTTTCCTCGCGTATCAATTAGCGTTCTACTCAAATTTTCCCTTGCTTTCCTATTTTTTTCCATTGTTTTATATCATAGTCTCTCATTTTTTCCATTGTTTTTCTCATCATTTTCCCCTCCTTTCCCATTTTTTTCCCACTGTTTTATATCATATTCCCTCATTTTTTCCATTGTTTTTCTCATCATTTTCCCCTCCATTGCAATCTCCCCAAGTCCACCTCGGAGGGCGGACCAGGGGGGAATCGATACCCCACCGTCACCCAATTGCCACCTGGTACATAACCCTAAAAAACTTTACCTGTGGCCACCTTTTTTACCACCTATTTTCCCGATTTTTGGCCAGTTAGGACCGCTCTGCCCCCAGACCCCCTTAACTCACTTTGTTCGCAAAAAGAACTTCGCCTAGCCTAGCGGCTGGCTTTCGTGATAAATATAAATATAAATATAGATAATATATATATATATATGCTACCCACCAATGCCCCCCCAGATGTGTTCAATCTATGTTTCTATATTGTTTGGAAACATCGAGTGCCGGCAGAGGATCAAAGACAGAGATTATGGGCAGTGCATCACCAGGTCACCAGCCACTTCCACTACCCGCTGGGAGCAAAAAAGGGCTAGGTGCAGCTCAACGATAGGAGCAATCGACAGAAGGGTGGTGCAAATGTTGGAAATGGCACTACTTAGGAGATTCCCCAGAAGCCGCAACCTAGAGATGCATCCGGTCATGTCACACCTGCACAAGTGAAGCACCTTTACGATCCTTTGCGTTCGTCTTGCCTATACATGATCATGACTGACATGTTGCTTGGTTGCAAACAACTGTTCCTGTTCCTCTAGAAAAGATTTCTGAAAGGTGCGTGTGTGCTTCCAAGATTCAGCCTTGAAGCAGACGAGCATTTCCACTGTGTTCAGACTTGAGATCCAGGGTATTATCAACTCTTTAGACTTGAAGTGCACAGTGTCCACTGTTTTCTGTAATTATCATTCAGGCATGCTGTTCCATGTCAGACTACTTGCCAGCAACATCGCAGAAAATGCATTCATGACATTGAGGTGCATGTACTGGGGGACGCAAGTTCAAGAGGTTTAAGCCGTATGGAGTTGTGACCACTCGTGGTGCTTCTCCATTGGACCCAGTTGATTGAACATTGATCCTGCTAGCGGAGAAATCCAACGAGATTCCTGACCAAACAGATTAAATCCAGGCCCTCCGGCTTTGCAATCTTGGATTCGAAGTCTGACAGCTGTCGACAATCCCAAGTCTGACAGTTGCCAGTATTGATCAAATTTGCACTCCACGTGCTATCTTGAATTCTATTGTGTATATATATATATATATGATTTATATGTGTGTGTGTGATGCTTCTGAATGCGATCTTCTCACAAAAATAAACCATCAAAATAGTATGAAAACACTGCAAATACCAACAGATTCACATATTTATGGGGTATTCCAGGGGTACAAATATATATATATATACATATGTATGTGTATATATATATACATATATGTATGTATATATATATACATATATGTGCATATATATGTATATATATATTTATTTATGTATATATATATATTTATGTATAGATATTTATGTATATGTATATATATATATATGTGTGTGTATGTATATATACATATATATATATATGAGCAAACACAACAACTGTACTACTGTATATAGTAATGATTGTAACAGTGGTAATAAATAGTCACAAAAAGTAGCAAGAACGAGAACAAATGAACAGAAAATAATAGATAATAAATACTAATAAAGAAGAAATATATTTTTGAAAATAGAAATATAAAATAATAAACATCACAATGTTGATTGAAAACTCATCATCATCACCATCATCATCACCATCAATATATAGTATAATACAATATATATATATATAATAATATAATATATATATATATAATAATATAATATATATATATATAATACATAATATATAATATGTAATATATAATATATAATATATAATATATAATAAATAATATATAATAAATAATATATAATATATAATATATAATATATATTATATCATACATAATATATAATATATAAGATGTAATATATAATATATAGTTAAAAATATATAATATATAAATTATAATATATGATATATATTTTGTCATAAAATATATAATATATAATATATATATAATATATAATATATATAATATATAAAATATAATATATAATATAATATATAATATATAATATGTATAATATATATATAATATAATATATATAATCTATAATATATAAAATATATAATGTATAAAAAAATATATAATATATAATATATATAAAAAATATATAATATATAATATAAATAATATATAATATATAATATATATAATATAATATATAATATTAAAAAAATACAATATACAATATACAATATATAATATATGATATATAATATATAATATATAATACATAATATATAGTATATAGTATATAGTATATATAGTATAAATAGTATATAGTATGTCGTATATAATACTATATATATAATAAGAAGAAGAAGAAGAAGTAATCTATAATATATAATATATAATTAATGATAATAGTACATAATAGTACTACATACTATTAATAATAGCAATCATCACTACTATAATATGTGATAATGATAATAATGATCATAAATATATTTACGAATAATAGTACTGTAAGTAACAATATCATCAGCCATCTGCCACCACGGCTTTCTCCAAGGTCGTCCTGCTTCCAAGGCCGCCGTGCAGCTGAGGCCCAGGTGAAGCAACAACAGCGACTTCCAAATGGCGGCCATGGTCGCTAAAGAGAAACGCTGTGGAAAAACGAGAAAACGCCGGAAAAGATGGGACATCATTGGAAAAATCATGGGAAAATCAGCTGGGTCTCTGTGATTTCTTTGATTTGTTTAACCTTTTTTGTCTGATTTTGTCTTCAAACGAAAGCTGGCGCAGGAGAGCGGCCGCAAAATCAGAAGGGGAACTCCGAAGATCCCCAACGGGCCATCCGTTTGGCCGGTGCTTCAAACGAGGATCTGCAGTCCCACCGAACGAAGTCCCCACGAGATATTCCATGATATTCCTAGAGGGGTCTGCCACGGGATCTGAGTTTTGAAGGACTTGTCTCTGAGCGCTACAACTACCTGGAACACACCTTCACAAGCAACAGAACATGTAGTTTTGTTCATGTCCAGTCTATCAATCTTCTTTGAAAATTCTGGCATACTCAGCCACAACACTTAATATTCCTGACTACATGATTCTTAGACGACAAAAAAACGGGTATCGTATAACCGTAGCTGCAGCATCTATACATCATATGACCATCGTGTTTTTTCCATGGTCAGGTAAGAGTCCTCACCTTTTTTCTTCTGAAGCCGGACCCTCCGAATCTTCGTTCTGGGGCCAAAAAGACGCCGCCATTGCGAGTCGCCACGGCGAAACATGTAAAACAAATGGGAATTTCACTGGTAAAAATGATGATATAATGGAAATATCATGGGAATATAGGGATATAACATGATATAACTTGATATAACCAACAATATCCAATGGGATGTGTTTAAAAAAATATGGCACCCATAGTTCATTGATAGTTTAACGCCATAGCAGAATTCGCGATCAGGGTGAAACCACATCGTGCTTGTCGTGGTGCGATAGCTGGATCCTTGTCCAGCCGCGGTGCTGAGTCTAGGGCGTGACTGTCATGGGATGTTGAGAATACCTTTGTAAACATATAGGTGAATGATCCATCCATGATCATCCTGTCTATACACAATAGGGTAGATATCATTGATATAGGTGAATGATCATTTTCAATGATATCTATATCAATCCATTTGTGTATGTACATATATTTACATATATTTACATGTATATTATATATATATTATATATATTTATATACTAACTACCGGCTATTGAAGAGTTCCCTATGGAATACCATCGCTTTTCATGGCTAAATCATCTACTTTCACAGGCCATGTTTGGCAAGCTGTGAGATTACCAGAGGGTAGATGTTGCGCATGACCTGAACTTGGATACCCAATGGGCCCTATACTTTAGTTTGGAGTATCCAAATTTTGAGGCACGGACCAAGAGCTGCTAAGGGGGACACTTTCGAAATCAAGCCCGTTGTACAGCGGTTCTGCCAGAGTTGCCGTCTTGCCGAACGAAGTTGCAGTGCAAGTTTGGCTTTCCAGCCGCCAAGTGCGGATGGATGCTTGCATGACAAGTGGTCATATATGTAAACAAACAAAGATGTACAGGCTACAGAAAAAAATGTTGTCCATGAGTCCATCCAGTTCCCCATTTGGATTTCCTCTTCTATCTCATTGGGCACCATCAATGTCAGGCAATGCTGGGAGGGTCATCGGCGGCAAACTGCGGCAAGACTAGCAACTCAGATATGTAAAGCTACACTGGCTACACTCCTGTGTTTAAACAACACGAAGCATCTCAGCTGCAAGACTAAAACACTGCTGATCACTCTTATGGCGTGCTTCATCTAACTCATCTGATTGCAACTTGTTGTATATGCAATCAAACAAGAGGTTTCAGCATAGATTTCCTCACACATCACCTTTGGGTGAACATCACCACGTAGTGAGATTTCAGGGGGCTTTGACAAAGGGGAAATATCTGACCCCTGGCTTTTTGCATCAATTTTTACACTCGAAGCAGTACGATTGCAGCCGGAAACGAGCCAAGTTCGGCTCCGTGTTACGTCGGAGGAGTCGAAATTGCCTGCGCCCCTCATCGCACAGGCCTCTGCATGCCACCAAAGCCTCCATGGTAGGGGTGATTTTGACCCATCCACATTTTACACCAAGTATTGGGTTGTACTGCAGGGGATCATTTGAACATGGAAAAAGTGGTTTGTCTGAAAATAGGGGACCACAATTCCAATGGATTACTATCAGATAATCATAATCCCCAATAAAATCGTCATTTAGCGGGTAAACCCCATTTTCAGACAAACCCAAATGGAAAATCACAAGTCTCTGTCCTGGTCCTGGACGTATTTTCATTGCATGTCGAATTGTGGGACGACACTCCCCATTTTGAAATTCTCCTAGATCTCTCCCAACCTTTTTTCCTGAAGATGGAGGTTGACTTCTATTTAGCCACCATTTCAAGTGATGTTAGACCCAAAATGAGCCTCATTTTGAAGCAGCTAGGATGAGCGAAATCGTGGATCAGTGGCGTCCCCACGTGGCATTTTTTGGGTTCCCCTGGGTCAATCCAAGCCCTGCTGAGAGCTAACCTTTCTTGGTCGCCCGCGGCACTTTCGGCACGTGGTGCACGTGATGCGCGTCAGCAATGAAGTGGGACACCTCCAAGTTCCGGACCCCAAAAAAAAGAACTGCAGCGATAAGACATTGTAGTCCAGGATCACGAGGTTGAAAAGCTCAGCGAACATGCCAAGATATGCCAAGTATGGATTGACCCACAGCTGATGCGGAAAAAAAAAAACATCAGACATCAAAGTATAGGTGATTCGATTGAAACAAGATGAAACAAGGCTAGGGCCCAAAATTTGAGAAACCTCAAAATCCAAAAAAAAACTCCATGCTTGGATGGTTTACTATCCCATCCTGGGGCAATGACTTGACCCCTTGCAACGCGGGCTTTTCCAGATTTGTCAAGGAAAGCCATAGGTCATGATGGTTGGATGGGGTACTCGGCTCAACTCGGTTATGGTTGGATGGCCAGCTGCCAGTGATCAAGGTCAAGCCACCTGCTTACAGCAGCCGCACCACCAGCATCATAGCGCCTTGGAGGCCAGGCTGGCGCAAAGAAAACACGTGAAAAACACCCAGCTGTTATCTCAAAAATGACTTTCTTGTACTGGAATCTTGCATGTTTTTCGTGTCAATTGTGGATGGTAGGAGATGAATCAAACCTGTACGGATATCCGTTTAATATCATTTAATTCCGTTTATACAAGTTTATACATAAATGTTCTCAATGAAAGCTGCGACTTTCCAGCCAGCCATCTTTGATTAGCAGAAGATAGCGCTCCAGGTGTCCTTCACCTTTGCAGGAGCAAACGAAGGCCTTCCCCTCGGGACCACCGGAGTCAGCCGCAGGGCTCCGGAAAAGTGTCGGCAGCTGCGTGGTGGTCGGGACTTACGATGCCCATCACTGGAGTTTCGTGTAGATTTGTTGCCCTCTGGCCACCTTTGTACCCACTTCCACTGCGCCCAGGTCAAGTTGACATTGACCAGAAATTCGTGAACCCAGGATACAGGAGACCAAGCAATTTTCAATTTAAGTCCCATGTCATCTTGCGGCAATTTTGGCGGCATAGTTTTGAAAAGAAAGGACATGAGTAAAATTGCTCAAAATCATGGCCCAGCAAAATGTAGGGACTCGTATTTCAAAACAACAAGCTTGTTGTGGCTCTATTGGGCCTCCATATTTGACCCGTCCAATCCGCAGTCCGGAAAGGATGCTCACAAATAAAACAAAAAAATGCTTTGCATCGCCACAGGTGCTGAACAACGAAATCGCCAAGGGCTGAACAAATTGGAATGAAATAACAAGACTTCTACTTGTGACGGGCCAAGGAGATTTGAAGAGTGCCCGGTGATCAGTCTGTCAATGTTTAGAATTTTTGAATGATCCCCTTTGGCAGTAGGACTAAGAGGACCCAGTCAGGATCAGTCAGGGAAGGTTCATGCCCAGAAATCTTTAGAGTGACCATCAGCGGTATGTGACCACAATATGAGCCACTGGAGTCAGAGTGGTTAAATAGGGATGCAAAGGTGGTTTTCAAAATGGGAGACCCAAAGTCACTAAAATTGTTGCTCATTTCCAGTAGGAACACCAATTTAGGCTACCTCAATTTCGAGATTTCTCGCCCCCGTGCCACCCAGATCATCATTTGTCACCCATGTTCGCCTTGAGAAAACCCGTCCCCCGGGGTCCCCAAGCGGTCCACTAGGTCCCCCACCCAGCAGGAAGCTCGTGGCCGCAGCGTTGCTGTCCGTCTTTCCCTCAATGTGGTCAGAAAACCCTCAGAAAACCCAAAAAGATGTGGAAAGCCCGTCGTTTCCCCAAACATCTACCATTGCTGGGTCCACTGTAAACTGTAAAAACAGGAAGGTACCTGAAGAATTTTAGGAAAAGCCTCCAAAATCCAGTAGTCAAAAACCGAGGTTCTTCCACATTGATGGCCATTGTTTTCGTTATCCCTAACAGGTATCCTCATTTTAAGACAAGCCCAATCCTGACCTTGGCCAGGTGCCAATCATCGATCACAAACAAAAACCAGTGCTTTTTTAGCGACTGACAAAGGCTGCCACCAGAGACTCAAGGCTTGGTGTTTCTTTGGGGCGGTTGAAAGATCTGTGGTTTTGGGGCTCAAGCATGTTAAACCATGTCGTGGGAAAATCATCCCGATGAAAAAAAGAACTTTTTCTCGCTCCTGGTGGCATCTCTCCGGCATAAAACGACAAATATGAAACGACCAACAAGGCAATAATGATGTCAAAATCAAGATGGGAATGCCAAGAAAAGAGTTGGATAACGCACCTTGAAAGCGACTAGCAGATCCAACCAACTTCACTCTGAAAAATACCATTTGGATCATTTGGTAGGAAAACCCACAAAAATTGTGATTTCTGATAGGAAAATGAAATCATTCAGCACCCCAATTTTGCCCCTGAGCCCCCGAGCTGGTGTGGTGCTGCTTGGTGGTGGAGGTGGAGGAGGTGGAGGGGATGGTCCCCCGGAACCATCGGTGGTGGTGGTGTCGTCATCATCGTCTTCCATGGTGGTGGTTTCGGTCACGGTCATGTTCGGGTTCGGGTTCATGCTGGTGGTCATCGTGTCGGACTGGTTGCCACCCATGGCCACAGTTAAGCCTCTCAACTGGCCTCAGGACTTGGGAGCTCATTTCCGAGGGGTATTAATATGGCAGTGTGTCAACCCCTAAAAATGGTATTAATAGGTATTGATCCATCCCCATATGATCGGAGGATGGAAGTATAAACTGGACCCAAGAATTTGGCCCTCTATGTTGGGCAGTCAATGTTCTTCAGCCATAGCATCCCATGGCCACATATTTTCTGGGTCCAAACCTTTGTTTCTGATGATAATGTTGAATTACTATCGAAAATCCCTGGCAATGGGGGTAATGACATATGTTTACCCTCCCAAAATATTCGACATCATCGTCCTTGGGATCAAAATAGTTGACCCAAAAAGCTGCTAGTTGACTTATTGTCACCGAGTTGCGGCTCAGGCCATTCCTCCAATTGCTCATGTCCAAAATGTTCTCAATCAGCTCAGCCTCCGAAAGAAAAATAAAAAAGAACGGCACGAGACCAAATCCAACATGCAACCCACATGGGTAGCTGGATGCAGCCGGGAAATCCAGCAAACTAAATGGAGGTGTCGTTTGCTGGGAAAATCATCGAACTATACATAGGGGAATTTTCCGGTCATGTTTTGTCGAGAATCGACCTGGAAGACGAGGACAAGCTTGTCACCGAACTTGTTTCAGGGTTTATGATGTTTTGTTATATTGAATATGACTGAATATGTATATCATGTATATCATGTATATTGTGTATCATGTTGTTTCATTGCGTTTCCATATCAAATGTGATTCCTGTTCGAACAGGGTCAAATCCCCAATTCTGGATGAAAACTCCCTTGCGTTTGCTCCAGTCATTCTGATCCTCTTCTGCCAATGAAAATCTCCATGTCACTTGGGTATCTACAGTCATTGCAAATCAAACGTCCCATTTGGCAAAGCATAAATCTTTGAAACCAGAATCATTGCATTTCCAAAAAAAACCCAGCAAATATCCATCAATATCCCCATGTTTCATGCACAAATCCCCATTTTTCCGGGTAAATCATGGGTAAATCCCAGCATTTTGGCCCCCCTTTGTGGCTCCCCGGTGGGTGGCTCCCCTGTGGCTCCTTGGTGCCGGCGGTGGATCCCATGTACTCCGCCGAATCGCTGTCCAACTCGATGAGGTTGGCCTCACGTTATGGTTTATCCCACGATAAATATGGGTTAACTATGGTTTATGGTAGATATATATATATATTATATATATATATATAGAGTTATTTATTTATATGGCTATTTATCTATGTATTTGTTTATTTGTTTATTTGTTTATTTTGTTTGTTTTGTTTGTTTCTTGTTTTCCATAAACCCTACATTGGGGCTGCAGTTCGGGTGAATGAATGTAGCTATGGCAGCTATGGGATTCAAAGCTCCGTAAGTTGGGATATAAGCCCGACCCACTCATGGGTATACAGCTCACTTTTTTTCGAACTGCACCCCCAAGTATGGATAAAATGGCAATCCCATAATGGGAATCCTCGTGGGATTTTTCAAAATATCTATGGATTGATGACAAAAAACATGATTTCACTCGGAAAAAACCTGATATCATGGGGGATGTAATGTATTGGAAAACTGGAAAACCAACAATGTAACAATATCCATATGGGTGTGTCTGAAAATGATGACTAGACCAAACGGTTAAGGCGGTTAAGGGTGAATGTTGGTAGGGAAACGGCCCTGTTTTCAGGCAAGCCGAAACGGTTGAAGCGGAAATGTGTGTGTTAAAACTAGCAGGGACGGAGTGAGGTTCCAAATTTGAAGATAACCCCAGCTCTGAATTTCCAGACCGGGCCGGGGATGTGGGTCACTTGGACATGACCGACATCATCCAGTCGTCGGTTTACTTCACAAACCGCCCGACACTGAGGGATTCCAACCGTGTCTGAATGAAACATCCTAATGTATGTGTGTGTGTGTGTTCATCATGACACATGAAGATAGGTCAAAGTCATCTAAGCAAATGGACAAACACCCGCTTGAGCGGATCATTCTTCAGGTATATATAGACGTCATGCTGAGAAATTCCTGAAGTGAGGAAATGCTTCTCAGGGAGTTGGTGAAGTCATGTACAATGATCATATGCCAATTGGAAGAGGTTGGAACAAGTTGTTCCTTTCTACCAACTTCATTCAACTTCAATATCATTATTCCAATGGCTAGCATTGATAGGTCAAAGTTGGGTACCCGTGAAAGTATCATGGTAGAATGCAAAAAGGGCTAGTCTATCTGTGGTTTTTCATTGCCAAGACCAGCACTTTCAGCCACATCCAAATGGATTGTGGCTGCCCCACTGGAAAATCCCTCAACTTTGTGAACCTTTCTGGTTCAAGGATTTTTCACATCTTGGTTTCAAAACCAAAAATACTCAAACAAGTGATTCCCCTTAAAGATATCAGGCTCATGCAACCCACAACCCATAAGGTCAACCCATAGAAATCGGTCGCTAAAAACCCCCGGCCCCAACAGATGATCGATGATCGCCTCGTTGAGCAGCCGCGAGTTGGCGGAGCCTGGTGAACCGGTGGCCGTTTTATAAAAACCTGGCTGGTTGATGATAGAAAGAATTGTAATAGTTATTATTACTAGTAATAATATATAACTAAGTAATCATAGATTTGTCTAATGTCAATCTGGTCACCGACAGAATTTTGGAAATGGAAAAAAGGTTCGACATGGGCAAGCAAACAACTGCGGCGCGCCGGGGCCGTATTTTTCCATAATTCTGTTTTACTGATAAAAATGCACACCTCAAAAATCGGTAATACCTTGTATACCGAACCTTTTTGGAAGGGGCGTGACGTGCTGCAGTTAAATTTCCATATATTTTTTTTCCATGTGAGGGTGCTTCTTGGCATATGACAATTTCCATAATTATTTGTTTCCTGAAAGGGGTGACAACTTTTCTATTGACATGTTTCCATAATTCTTTTGGCCATGGCTACAGTGCATGATTATGGCTATAGTAGCATCAGTGGGAGATCAAAATAGACATGTGGAGGAATAATTTCACATGTGCCCCTTAACACTTTCCTCAGTTTGTTGCCTTGTAGGCCCAACCCTGAGCACTGAAAACCCTGAATTCTCACAGGGGATGGGCGACTGCCGCAAGAATTTTCTCCCCATAATCCCGCAAGATGTAAGTTTCTGAAAGTCTGCTGAATCTAGATTTAATCCCAAGATCATGCAAATAAACTGTAAACAAGGTGGTTTGGAGATGTTTGGAGGATAAGGATCCCAAAACTGAATCTGGATTTAGTCCCAAAATCATGCAAATTTCCTGTAAACCAGGTAGTTTGGAGGACCAGGATCCGAAAAGTAAGATTTCCAAAATTAATTTCGCATCGTGGATTAGAGGCTTTTGTAGACATTTGTATACATTTGTTTCATCCTTTTTTTTGAAGGATCAAGATCCGAAAACTGAATCTAGATTTAGTCCCAAGATCATGCAAATACGCTGTAAAGCAACTGGCTTGGAGGGTCAGGGTCCGAAAGCTGAATCTAGATTTAGTCCCAAGATCATGCAAATAAACTGTAAACAAGGTGGTTTAGAGATGTTTGGAGGATCAGGATCCCAAAACTGAATCTGCATTTAGTCCCAAAATCATGCAAATTTGCTGTAAACCAGGTGGTTTGGAGGATAAGGGTCCCAAAACTGAATCTGGATGTTGTCCCAAAATCATGCAAATACGCTGTAAAGGAGGTAGTTTGGAGGACCAGGATCCGATAAGTAAGATTTCCAAAATTAATTTTGCATCGTGGATTAAAGGCTTTTGTAGACATTTGTCTCACTTGTTTTTTCTTTTTTAGAGGATCAGGATCTGAAAATTGCTATTTCCAAAATTCTTTTTTTTGAAAGTCCGTAATGTCGCTAATCTTTTGTCTTGGTTTCGGTCCCCAACCTTTTCCGCTAACTGCAGCGCGCGAACCGTTTTTCATTTCCAAAATTCTGTCGTAGTACATCTGTTAGTAATTGACTAGCAATTAAAAATAATGAGAAAGATCATTTCAGTACATATATACATATATACTTGTTGATTGTCATCATTTATCTATGTGTGTATATGTATGTATATTGAATGGTAAAAGAATGAAAATGATGGAGATTATGATGGTGATGATGATCATCATAATGATGCTGATGCTGATGCTGATGCACTGATACTCATTATTCGGCTGTGACAATACCACACATCATCGCTGTGCTTTTTGTTGGTGCATTAATATTATGACTAAAAGGAACGAACAACTTGGAAAATGTTCCTGAAATGGTAACCTTGAAGGATTTACCTTGCAAGAATGGTTTGGTTGTAACCAAGGGTATTGAATCTTGAAGGTGCCCCGAATCTTTTCACGGCCGTATTAGCCAAAAACCTTTACGCAGTGGGGGCTGATTTATATATATATATATAACCAAAAACCTTGGTGTAGTGGTAAGCCTACTGATAGCACAATTCTATGGCTAACCTTTCCAATCATAGCCATGGATCTCTTGGCCATGGAATACCTATCATGACGACTGAGTTGGTTGTCCACTTCCCTGCGGATTGAAACTATTTTGAAGGGTTCAGGAAAACTGCACAGGAAACCATGGCTTTGTCATCAATGATTTGGGCATGCAATTTTCTAGAGAAATTCTGGGATAGACATCACCTGATCTCGAACTGGAAAAACCAAGAAGAGAGGATGATGGCGTACCCTCCCAGTAATCAAACGTGGCTAGCTAGGAAATTCCCATCAAAAATGGATACCAGGATGGCTCGCACAGAAGGTGTGTCCTGTTTCCGCATCCTAAACCATGAATCAGTGGTGCCACCGAATCAAGTAACAACCTGAAGTGCTAGATTGTGAGAAAGGCAACTTCTCAGAAGACATGTATGTATATATATATATCTTCGTATGTGTATATATATATATGTATAGAATTGATGAATTGGAAAATAAGCAAACTTGAGAATGATTCCCCTTGTCATCATCCTGTGGAAGGTCTGGTTGACCCGCAGGCCTATACAAGGGGATGCAACGGGTGGAATCACCAGACATATCCCGGCCTTTTCCTGACATGCTGATGCTGCACAAAACTTCCGGAGACGCAGGGCTTCCCTTGAAGGCTGTGAGGGCCACCGGGGCAATCAGGGACCTTAGCCGCTAAGCCGGGCGTGGAAGTTTCACCATCAAATGTGGAATAGAAAACCAACCATAATGATCCATAATGGGGTTTAAACAGTAATAAACCACTCATTTGGGAATGGTTTATAGCAACTTAAAAATGGTGTTTGGGGGGTGGTTTATTATTGTTTTAACCATATTGATGGGGATGTAAGAAGATACTGTATGGGATACCAGATACCCGGATACATTATGGTCGGTAACCCCCCAAGAATGGTCAGCCACAATCACTTTTAGGGCAAATCTTATCCAGCTATCATTGAAGGTTTCGCCGAGCGATTTTTGCATGGCCCAGTTGGAGGGAAAAAAATGCCAGTTGGGAGCTGGGGCGAATTTCCCCTGCCCTTTGAAAACTTGGGTGATTCTCAGCCTTGCAGACTTCTTATATCACCTCATATCTAGATATAGCTAGCATGTAAATCGCTGCACATATGATCACATATATATATATATACTTATATAGGTGTGTGTGTGTGTGAAGATGTGTGTATACACTGTATGCGTAGACATATACAGGAACACTCATGACAAGGATCATCATCGGTTGACATGGCCCCACAACCTATCAGTTTTTTCACAGAAATTGTTGAAATGCTCCAGGAATCCACACGTCTCCTGCATCTGGAAGTCTGATTTGCGGAGCACCTGGGGGGTTCTCTGAAAGTCAGGATGAGGAAACCATGATGAGTTGCCTCTCCATTTTTGAGGAGCAAAGCAGTGGAGAAAATGGAGACTGACACAAAGAAAGGGCGATGAACTTTCAGTCAGTCTCAACGTCTTTCTTCCAACTCTATGGATCCCCCCATGCTGGAAGCTAGTAGGTACTGAAGGTGATGATTAGAGCCTGGCTTTGTCAGTTTCAGGTAATGCTGCTGGTCACTGACAAGGGGAGATCTAACTGAGTAGCGCACTGCCCCCCTCTTGGCATCCTTTACCTGCTCCTTTGCTTCAACCCACTTGCCCACCTCGGGTCAGGGTTCATCAAAAGCTGTGAAAATTTTCGGGAGCCACTTGGCTGCTATTTTCCCACACATAGACGTATCATAATTTCTAAATCAGAAATACACCCATTTTAGGATAATCCCCCAACAGAATAAACCATCATTTGTGGTGACGGTCAGTGGCCCACAGCCCCACAGAGACGCATGAATTGGCGGCCGATCGCTTAGATTTCCCCAGAAAGTATCCATCATCATTTTTGGGTAAACTGTATCCCCATCATATCCCTATTATATCCCCAACATCATATCCGAAGTGCTATATATATATACTGTATATATGTACATATATATATATATGTGTGTGTATATATATATATATATACATTTATATATATATACATATATACATATATATATACATATATATATATATACATATATATATGTAAAATTACACATAACTATCTGTGTTTGTAAACATATATATATATATACGTATGTATGTACAATTATACATCATAAATATATGCGTGTATACATATATATAAAAAGATATACAATTTTACATCATAAAATTCCGTGTATGTATATATATATACATATATATATACATATGTATGTACAATTATATATCAAAAATATCCCGCCCGACTGGAAACCGCGCGTGGAGGCGTTGACATTTGTGAATAACCTCTGTGATACAAAGTGTATCAAACGTGAGGTTTCGGCACACTTCAATCTTTTTTTGGCTCTTTTTCGTGGCAATTCCATGGAATTCTTTTTTTGATCATGTCGTGCTGTGGAAATGATGTTTTTTTCTGTTTTGCAAATCCAAAACAGAGGCTGCAACGAGTACCTGTGAGTCATTTTCCCGCGCCTGCCAGTCGAAATTGGGACGGTCCAGCCAAGCAACGCTTGCTGTACAGTTTTTGCTGTAGTCTTCAAAATGTCTTTGCACATATTGATGTAACGCCACTGCCAACAGCGTGCGTACACTAACAGCCACGGACTTTGTGTGGTCAATCCATTTGGTATGTTGTTTTAATTCTTTCCAGCACTGATCTATCATGCCTGTGTTGCTGTTGATTCTTTGTTGTCTTCTTTTGATCCACTTCGCAAATTGCCCTTTGGAATGGTTCACACAGTCATGATCGATTTGACGCTCACGAGCTACTTTTGGATACGCCGGGGCCCCGTCTGTGATGAGCAATGTTTTTATTCCTTGCCATGTTTTTTTGAACCATTCCATGGAACGACAAGCACGAATCTGTGCAAATGACTCAGGGGGTGGTTTCCCATGATTGGCAGACCAAGCCCATCCAATTGGCCAGAAGACCATGATTCTTCGTCCCTGGCAAGGCTTTCGTGGCTTTTTTTTGTGAGGGTTAAAAAAAAGCAGTTTTTTGCGACGTAGTCAATCAAAGCACCTCCACTGGCGCGCGTTGCACCATGCCATAGAGCTGGTAGTACAAAGTTGCTGATCCTTGCGGGCGACTCGGTACAGAAGTGCCATCTGCTTCGACCAAACCTGACAAGCAATGGCAAGGTTGATCGCTCGAAAAGGGGTTTTAGGTCAACAGAAGTTGTTCCTTTTCTTTATCATGTTTGCAAATGGATTGGGTATAGCAAGTTCGAACTGCACACAATATCAGTGAAGGCATGCGAAAGTTCTGTCTGTTAGAAGATACCAGCAATGGTAATGCAGATTAGTCTGGCCTCCGACGGAGGAAGAATATTGAAAGGCCAAAGCACAGTGTTCTTCATGCTTGAGCAACATGTTGTAGAGCGAATGCAAAGGTCCTGCATTTGTTCTCACATCGTGTGTTTTGCTTCTCTGAACCCAGGTTTTTGGAATCCAGTGCCTGTTGTGCTGGAGAAGCAGAGCAGCCCAAAGAACATCCAATGGCTTGCGCGGACAACACAGGACAGTGGTCGAAGTAGAGTTCCAGCAAGCGCCAGACAACGAGAAGAGGCAACCTCACGACGGAGACGAGGACGTCCCAATATTGTTCGCAGTCTTGGCGTCGAAAACAAAGGCGACCGAACCCGCGATGAGCGCAAGTCTTCCATCTTTGCCTGCTGAGTTTGCCACCGCACTGCCGTGTTTGGGTGTCCATGCACAGCCAGAGAGCTTCATCTTTCTGTATGCGTCTCTTGTCGGACCAGCTTGCACATTCACTTTCGTAACATCTTTTTTTCGCTTTTGCTTTTCTCTGCGCATTCTTCTTTCTATTTCGGGCATTCGGTTTTTTACCATTGTCATGTCTGCTCTTCTGTGCTTTGGAAGTCGTATGCCAAGGCACTCCACGGCTGCGTCTCTTCAATGTACGGCGAGGTTTGCCATCCATGCCCACCACTTTGGCACTGGAGTTTTCTTTCAAGAAGGACGAAATTTTCTGGATGTTGGCAGTGCGACAAATAGCAGACAACAACTCATCCGCCAAAGCCGGGCACATCGAAGAGTAATAACCTTTTTTCCACACAGTAGACACTGAGGATTGGACTTGGTTCCTCGTTTTGCAGCACCAAATTTGCTAGTTGGCTGTGCCTTTGTTCCCCCCGAACGCTTCTTTCTCTGAGCTGTCTTCCCAAATTTCTTCTGCACTTTCATCCGTCTTTTTTTTTGGTCTTCTTTCTCTTTGTCAGGCAGCAGAGACGTTGACCCGTCAGCTGAGGTATGAACCGATCTCGCTACTAAGTCTTGAAGCCATTCATCTTCTGCTTCCGGTATGGAAGCAATGTCCGGATCATGAGTTCTCAATTTGCCATGGCAGGAGTGAATGGGAGCTACAACGGAACCTTGCACCAAGTCTTGTAGCCACACGTCTTCTGCCTCCACCTTCTCCGCAATGTCTGGATCACGAGTCGTCAACATGGAGGGCCTGTCCGTAGAGGAGCTCGCAAAATGGTTCTCCAAAACATTGGCTCTTTCCAGCATTGGAAGTTCTTTCTGGACAGAACGCTAATACCCCACCCCACCCCACCCCATGAACGTGATTAGAGAAGTTAATACCGTAGTTCAACATGGATCGGATCATACAAAAAAAGTGCGTTTTACAAGCACGGTTTTGGGTCCGCCGGCAAAAACATGCGTCACTACACGTTCGGTTTTCGCCCCTAGCAAAAATATCTGTGTATGTATACATATATATATATATATGTATGTATGTATGTACAAGTATACATCATAAATATCTGCATATTACATATATATATATACATGTAAGTATGTACAATTAAACATCATAAATATCTGTGTATGTATATATATAATATATTCTTTTGTATGCACAATTATACATCATAAATATCTGTGTATGTATATATATATATACTTACACATATGTGTATGTACAATTATACATCATAAATACATGCGTATGTATATATTTACACATATGTATGTATGTACAATTAAACATCATAAATATCTGTGTATGTATATATATAATATATTCTTTTGTATGCACAATTATACATCATAAATATCAGTGTATGTATATATATGTATAGATGTACAATTATACATCATAAATATCTGTGCATGTATAAATATATATATATATACGTAGATGTACAATTATACATCATAAATATCTGTGCATGTATATATACTTACACATATGTGTATGTAATATTATACATCATAAATATCAGTGTATGTATATATATACATAGATGTACAATTATACATCATAAATATCTGTGCATGTATAAATATAAATTTAAATATATATATACGTAGATGTACAATTATACATCATAAATATCTGTGCATGTATATATACTTACACATATGTGTATGTACAATTATACATCATAAATATCAGTGTATGTATATATATACATAGATGTACAATTATACATCATAAATATCTGTGCATGTATCAATATAAATGTATATATATATACGTAGATGTACAATTATACATCATAAATATCTGTGCATGTATATATACTTACACATATGTGTATGTACAATTATACATCATAAATATCAGTGTATGTATATATATACATAGATGTACAATTATACATCATAAATATCTGTGCATGTATATATATACTTACACATATGTGTATGTACAATTATACATCATAAATATCAGTGTATGTATATATATATACATAGATGTACAATTATACATCATAAATATCTGTGCATGTATAAATATAAATATATATATATATATACGTAGATGTACAATTATACATCATAAATATCAGTGTATGTATATATATATATATTTACATAGATGTACAATTATACATCATAAATATCTGTGCATGTATAAATATAAATATATATATATATACATAGATGTACAATTATACATCATAAATATCAGTGTATGTATATATATATTTACATAGATGTACAATTATACATCATAAATATCTGTGCATGTATAAATATAAATATATATATACATAGATGTACAATTATACATCATAAATATCAGTGTATGTATATATATATATATTTACATAGATGTACAATTATACGTCATAAATATCTGTGCATGTATAAATATAAATATATATATATATATATACATAGATGTACAATTATACATCATAAATATCAGTGTATGTATATATATATTTACATAGGTGTACAATTATACATCATAAATATCTGTGCATGTATAAATATAAATATATATATACGTAGATGTACAATTATACATCATAAATATCAGTGTATGTATATATATATATATATTTACATAGATGTACAATTATACATCATAAATATCTGTGCATGTATAAATATAAATATATATACATAGATGTACAATTATACATCATAAATATCAGTGTATGTATATATATATTTACATAGATGTACAATTATACATCATAAATATCTGTGCATGTATAAATATAAATATATATATATACATAGATGTACAATTATACATCATAAATATCAGTGTATGTATATATATATTTACATAGATGTACAATTATACGTCATAAATATCTGTGTATCTATATATATATGCATATGTGTATGTACAATTATACATCATAAATATTTGTGTATGTATATATATATATTCTTTTGTATGTACAATTATACGTCATAAATATCTTTGTATATATATATATACATACATAAATATATGTACAATTATACATCATAAATATTTGTGTATGTATATATATATATTCTTTTGTATGTACAATTATACGTCATAAATATCTTTGTATATATATACATACATAAATATATGTACAATTATACATCATAAATACATGCGTATGTATATATTTACACATATGTATGTATGTACAATTATATACCGTGGGATTGCTTGGTTGAATCCCAGAATTTGATGCTGAGGGCCAGGCAGGTGTCGAACGCCAGTGGCGAAGAATCTCGTCAGTGATGTAGATCTGCTCGTTGGCATCTTCCAAAAGGACGAGGGCAAAATCGTCCTGTCCCGGCACGTAGAGATGTCTGATATGTATGTGATACACACATGCGCATATCATATAATTGAGTATGGATATCATATATATATATGTATAGTCGCATATGTATATATATATACATGATAAAGAATTTTTTAATGGGCAATGGAGGTTTCAATGGCTTGTTATAATCCACTTGCCGACGACTTGCCAGCCGACACCATCCCACAATTAGGATCTTTTAAATCACGGCCTTATTCCTGGTCTCCGTGCGCCTACATGCGGGCAGTCTATAGCCAGCTTTAAACATCATCTCACCAATCCAATATATCTATCATAGTCATAACCCCTACTGTAGTTCACTTGCTTAGACTAGATAGGTATGCATATATATATACATAGATAGATAAAGATAAGATAAGATAAGTTAGCTTGATCCAAAGGGGCTCCAGGGATGGTTTCTATAGAGGGTGGACGGGGCATGACGTAAACATAAACTATGTCTAGGCGTAAGTAAAAACATATGTGAAACATAAACGAAACATATGTGAAACGTATATGAAACATATGTCAAACATAGGACAAAACATATGTGGAACGCAAACGAAACATACATGGAATATAATTGAAACATAAGTGACACATAAAGCAAAACATGTGTGTGAAATTTGCAACATATGTGAAACATGAGTTGGCCGTCCCCCCTGTGTCAAGCAGTTGCCAATTTGAAATCCAAACCTGGTACAAACCTGCAGCCAATGTGAAAGTGTTGTCTCCCACATGTTTCACATATGTCTGACATACGTTTTGTTTGCGCAGCACTTGCGTCAGGCAAAAGTCTAAGATCTTACTCTGGGAAAATAAGATCTTAGGATTTTGACATACATAAAAAAATACAAGCGAAACACAAACAAAACATAAACAAAACACAAATGTAGCATAAACTTGTTTATGTTTTTTTGTGTTCTGTTTATGTTTTGGTTTATTTTTTGTTTTTGTTTGATTTGTTTTTTTTTGTCGATGATTTGCGTATGGCCTTATTTTTATGTTTTTTTTGTGCTTTTTTATGCTTGTTTGCACAAAAAAGCACAAAAAAACATAAAAATAAGGCCTTACGCAAATAATTGACACAAAAAACACAAACAAAACATAAACCAAAACATAAACAGAACACAAAAAAAACATAAACAAGTTTATGCTACATTTGTGTTTTGTTTATGTTTTGTTTGTGTTTCGCTTGTATTTTTTTATGTATGTCAAAATCCTAAGATCTTATTTTCCCAGAATAAGATCTTAGACTTTTGTCTGACGCAAGTGCTGCGCAAACAAAGCGTATGTCAAACACAAGTGAAACACAGAGCAAACATTGTGTCACATAACTCCGCTCACCTCCAGAGAAGATGGAAACACGTGCGCGACAGTTGGGACACATGACTGCCAGAATGGTTTGTGGATTCATTTGTGTTTTGTTGATGAGTCGTTTTATGTTTTATTGTGGATTCACTTGCGTTTTGTTTATGATGAGTTTCCGATGTGTTTATGATTCACTTGTGTTTGCTTTTATGTTGCCTTTACGTTGTTTTATGTTGGTTCTTTACGTCTTTGGTTTATGTAAGGCTCTTAGCCTCAGATCTGGTTCCTATAGACGAAGCCCTTTGGGTTTACCTAAAAGATAAGATAAGATGAGATGAGATAAGATAAGGATAAAATAAGATAACATAAGATAAGGATAGAAAAGGATAGGATAGATAGATAGATATACAGTAAACCGGCTAAGGATGGTGGCCCCTTCCTGGTCCCAGCTGCAAGGGCTAGTCCCCGGTCCCCCGCACCTTGTCACCATAGGCGCCTACAAAGGCACAGTCTCCTGGGCGTCGACGTTTGGTGCGTCAGACGGAGATGGGATGTAGGAGGCATCAATTTTGGGGCTACCTATCCACCTCCAAAGATCTTCAAAATATTTCAAACCATGTGTCCTGCCTGCTGAATTTCCACAAGTGATCGTCCTGTGAAATATCCCCACTTCCAGTCGTCAAATTGTCAAAGAAAAATCCCAGATCTCATCCCACTGGACTCCAACATCCCAAAATGCGAAGAGATCTCCTGCTTCCAGGGAGGAAGCCAAGCCCCACTGTGCAAGCACAACCATCGATTGCATGAAGAAGTTCATGGCCACCTCAATTTCTTCATGCAAGAAAGGCATGCAGGGAAGTGGAGGCAACTTGGAAAAGCTTGAAAAAAGAAAAATCAAAACTTGGGAGAAAAAGTGATCCTGTGATCACTGTGATCCTTGGAATTTGGGCATGGGTCCAGTTGTATATGGGTATACCGCTAATAAATGGTTTGTTTGTTTTTTTGCACTTATCCATCAATCCACTTGTGCATAAAAAAAGACCCAAAGGTGTTGGCCCCTCAGCAGAATAACCAGTCGCCAGTCCAGGCTTTTAGATCATTTCAAAATCTTGCAGCAACCATGAATCAACCTGGATTCGGCCGCTCAACATAGGCCAATCCCACCAATGATTTAATAGAGAATGGTAGATGTTGTCTTATCCCAGGTACTCTGTTTAATGAGCTGTATAACTGTATAACCCATAATATCTCGTACCAAAATTGTCTTATCATAACCCCACCAATAGTATCCAATAGTAATATGTATTAACCCCACCAAAATATCTCGCATCGCCCATCATTGTGACCAGGCGCTCCAGTCGTGAATCAGCAGCAATCGATGGGGCGCCGTGGACGCGTGGACGGACGAGAATCTGCTGAAGCCAGAACGGCGGTCGCGCGCATCGTACTCTGACCATGGGCATCCATGATGCGGGGGTGGGATTGTAAGGCCCTGGGAACCATAAATGCTGGTCATTTTCGCATATTCTCGAAATCAAAGAATGAAGCTCACTGTCCCCAGTTTGGGCTACCTAAGTTGCTCGTGTGGAGAAGTGGATAGCAAATCATACTCCTTTTTTGCTGCAAATCCTCAAAACTTGGTGTTTCTCACGTTCTCAAACCTATTCCCCTCAACTATGAAATGGATTTTCACTGGAGACCTGATCAGTAGATGATTCATCCACGACAAATAATACCAGATATGAGGCGTTCCACCAGGAATGGGCATGCAACCAACCACCATGATCTTTCGCCAACAAGCTCACCCCAGTGTGGCAAATTCGTGGATCCCAGACCGTTTCCCCCGTTTCGCCCATCCATTTCTGCTCTCCCCCTTAAGGGGCTCGCACGTAGAGGCCTTCTGGACATGCAGCTGGGGGCTTTGCCCAGGACAGATCCAGTTCTGTGGATGAATTCTGCTGGTGTCGGAATGTTTTTATCATGTTTTATCCATCACATCCTCATGATGTCATGTTTTCCTCTTGAATTCCTGTTGCTTCTCATGGAAAACAAAACGACTTTTCCAAGTGGCTTTCCAAAATCTTCAGCGCTCCTTCCAGCGGTCCATTTCTTGGACTCAAACCCTCAGCCCTCCACTTTGAAGGGAATCTCCAAAGGCTGCAAAGCTTCCCAAATGCTGCCCTCCAGCTTGGTCACATCCTCTAGCCTACAGGGAAGCCCCACCACTGGGAGTTGGGCATTTTCAGCCATCAAAGTATTGGGAGTTTACGCAGCAAGTCAGGGATTGAACCAACAAAAATGAGATTCGACAGGAACCAGTTGGGACATGACGAAGTCAGGATGGAACCAACAAGACTTGGGATCTCAACAAGGCTCATGGGACTCATGGGAATATCACAGGCAACAACTATCGGAGTATATATCGGATAGTTGTGTTCCTCAATGGGGAACTTAAAGAACAATTGATGTTCTCGCTCCTAACCTACAACGTGCTAGGCCTGCTAGGCTGTCTCGGGATACCCTATTTCCAACCAAAAACAGTTGAGATATGGGCAACAGTCTGATTTCTCTGGTTTCTGAATTGCTTCACGGGAAATTCCACTTTTCAGAACCCACTATAAACCTATTTACTTCATAACGAAAAAAAAAACTGATTTAAAAAAAAAAAAAAGGTTTCAAGGTGTTTCAAGTGGAAATTCTCCCTTATAAGCCATGGTTTTCACCGCATGCAGCCTGAGCCAATAAATGGCCGGCAGCAAATGGACCGGCAGCAGCCAGTCGTCGTTGCCTGGCTCCATGGAAATCACGGCGTTGTGGAAGTCTGATGGTTTTTATGGCCATAAATGGGGCCCATGTTTAATGGAATGACCTATGAAAAATGGTGCTTGTCCATCAATCCCTGGGTAGTCGGACTTAGGAAATCATGGAAATCATTGGAAAATCCATGATTTTCTGATCAATGGATGATGGATGTCAGAGACAATTTCAATGATCATGTCGATTGAAAAAAAGATCGCGAAATTCGCTGCGAAAAGCGAAAACATATCGAATCCATGGCGCAGCGTTTTGGAAAACCCCACCATGGCTTCGTCTGAAAAAATGGTACCGAAGAATTTTGATGATGATTCATAAGTGTCACCATTAAAATCATCACTTGGTTGGTATTTCAATCACATATGTGCCAATGATTGCCAATGTGCCATGGTTTCTAAGGCATGGAAAAAATGAGTGTTTCTGTGGCATTATGGGGTATAGTCATCCAACCATCACTAGGAGGTTCCTTACAATGGATCTACTGGAGCCCTAATGGGTGGATGGCCATCCCCTTTGATGAGAAAATCAATCAATCACCGGAATTCTGTGAAAATTAGATGCTTTTCCCCAGTGAAATCCCCATCGTCCACATCAAATTCATGGAACTTTCCCCATTGAATTGATGAAGTTCATGTCCATCATGAAAATCACCATATTTTCCCCATGAAAATCACCATTTTTTGCTGGTGAACCCTGACCCCCATCCACCATCATTCCCACCTCCGAGCACGGCCGCACCGTCCTCGCCGATGACACCATCCAGGAATTCGTGGCCAGTGAAGGGCGGCTCCAACTCCTGGTGTGCAGCATCACAGCTGAGGATTTGGTGGGAGTTCTCCATCGAAAATTTGGATTTTTAGTGGAAAAAATGATGGTATCATAGGGGGGTTTTATGGGTATGTAATGTGGATATACATCCATCAAGAATTAGGCTTTATCAAAAAATTGGAGTTAATTAGGATGTATGTGGATTTAACCAAGGAAAATGTGGATTTCGCTGCGAGCAATGGCAATTTACCAAAAAGAATAGTGAAATTGACTACATAACTAACTACGTAGCTAACAGCAGTGTGCGATATGGCCATATGAATGGGATGTTCGCCGTCAAAAAGATGATTCAAAAATATGGTTGAAGGAGAAAAACATGTGATATACTGTATATACGTGTATATACTATATGATGAAATGTTTGAAACGCTGTGTCATGTCTGCCAGTTGGTTGATAGGGGTTCCCATAATGGGTCATAATCATCCCGAATCAATCGGGTAGGACAACCCCCTGCAATGCCCTATCAGCAGGGCTGGTCGGCCCCCGGGGGGGTTGGGATGAACATGACGGTGGAACTCAAAAGACATGCGTACGGATTATCAACACATCAGCTGGAAATGTTGGATGACAAGTCACATGGGTTCAAGCAAGAAATTGCAGTTTTTGTTGGTAAAATGATGTAAAATGATAACAAGACCTTTGGATTTGAGGTTACCCAATTTTCAGACAACCCCTCATTTTCAGACAACCTCACACTTTTAAATGGGGTAGAGGTCCCCCATTTAAGCGCCAGTATAAAAAGATCATCCCAGGTAGTGATAATCCATGATAATCCACAATCCCAAGTGCTGGTAATCCACTGGTTCCTACATGTTCTAAGTATCTCCAGCCTAAAGACTTAAGATCTGTCCACACCTGGATCAGCTGGCATGGCGAATGAGCCAACCTTTCCATGTCAGCTTGCCAGAAAGTTTTTTCAGTGGTGAAGCCCCTTCCCCCAAAAAAAAATCTCAAGGGAACGACAGTTGTGGATCTGTTCTTGTGTCAGATGGTCCCATGCAGAAGAGTTGATTGTTTGAATCATTCTGGCTGAATTGTACTTCTGAACCTGAAACTCATCGCACTTCTCCTTGGAGCTGGAAGTGCGATTCCCCTTATAAGCCTTAATGTCAGCATCATTCCATCATTCCAGTGATGTCAGAGGTCAGATCAAAGCCATCCAAATGATGTGATCTCCACTTCTCCACTGTTGGTAAGTCACCCAGGAATATTGGGCGACTAGCCGCCTGCTGGATCGCTGGATCATCCCACTGGTGAAATCTGAAAAACCCTGGTGTTTATGAACACGTCGACGAAGTACAGTACTTCGCAGGTGCAGGACTGGGTTATTGCATGTACCTATGGTATACTATGGGCTTCTAACCTCCATAATTTTGGATAGAACCCCTAAAACCAAAAAAGTTATATAACCCACTTATGAGAGGAATAGACTAGGTATGGGACCGTCAGTTTACTCCGGGAAAAAGTGTGCTTCGTTGATCCGTAGTCATGTGGTCACAAGTGACTCAAGTGCGTTAAAAAAAGAAGTCAAGCACTGTAAACATGGTCTCTTGTGGTCTTTGGTCCTTGCAAGCAACACACGGCACGAAAAAACTCTGCAGTCAACACTGACCCTTCATTCCCGGAATTGGATGAAGGGAAACTTTCAAAGAAACCCGGCTGCATCTATGGTTTAAAACAAGAACATGGCTGCAGTAAATGTCCCCGCCAACCCAATGAACCCAATGCTTCATCCTAAGCTCAGTGTGTCCCCGCGTCCTCATCAGGCATAGGTGACCCTTTGCCCTGCAGCATCGAACCCGTCTCGACCCAAGTGACTTGAAATGGAACCTTTCTTTGGAGACTTGAGTAACCACTTTACAAGGTGACCATGGTGCTGCTCGTTCGGGAAAATCAAGGTCAATGATCAAGATGATGGTATCAGCTCGGAGTGCGGGATGAACTTGTGGCTGAAAAATGATGATGGAACCTCTCCCTTGAGTTTGAGCCATCCCAACATTCTCATGTTTGCCATGAATTTGCCAACCTTTCCAAGAGGTACAAACTTCAGAGTCATCCAGTTTTTCAGCTGGAAATCGCAAGGTGACTGTGTTGTCCCTGTAGACGTATGGGTCAAAATGGGTGGTTGAAATCTTGGCAGCGTCTGACAGCAATATGACTTAGCTGACTTAGCTCATGTTGGCCACTCTGCACCCAAAAAGTGAATCGTGACAATGGTGAATCTCAATCTCGTGCCTTAACCCCCACAATTAACATCAATAAACCATACCCCATTTACCCATAGATTGCCATAGACCATTTGCATATCCAAAAACCACCGCTTAAAAGGGGTGGTATCTGCTGGCCCGGCCACCTTCTTGCCCGAGGAGGATCTCTGAGGCGCCCCTGTGTCTTCGTCCAGGGGATCCGTGTACCTAGGGCACTACCACGGGATGATTCAACCCGACATGGCTGTTGCCACTGGATGCCACTGGGTAACTTTGGTTTCTTCAAAGTTCTTTTTGGATCTGTTCAGATCTGTCTGGATTGGCCTGCTTGAGTGACTTAAGTCGAAGGATTTTGAGAGATGCGGGCTTGTCTGAAAGTAGGGCTACCCCCAAAGTTGTGCTTTAAAACCGCCTTTGCTCCATTAAAGCAGCCCAACCATTTTCACACACCCAAACACGACATTGTTGATTGCAGTATCCGCCGACCCCTGCCTTAGCCAAGGCAGGGGCGGCGCCTGGGACCACCGCAGGTGTGGAACTTTTTTTCGTTCCCAATGCTTTGCACTTTCCACGAGCCACCCAGGCCATAGCACCCTCTGTTCACCGCCCAGGAGCCACTCAGGCCACAGCAATTTCTGTGCACTTCCCACGAGCCACTCATGCCACAGCAATCTCTGTTTCTACGGCGTTCCAAAAGGCAACAGGCCGCGGCAGACCCTGTGCAGTTCCAACAAGTCCCTGAGGCCGTGGCAGTAAAGAGGTTCAAGGCTGCCGTTTGCCAGCCTTCAAAACTCGCCAAAACTACCCAAACCCTCCCCTGCAGCTCCCAGGCGCCACTCAGGCCGCGGCAGACCTTTCCTGCAGCTCTCACAAGTGCCTGAGGCCGTGGCAGTGTCTTTTTATGGACGTTCAAGGCTGCCGTTTGCCAGCCTTCAAAACTCCCCAAACCTTCCCCTGCAGCTCCCAGGCGCCACTCAGGCCGCGGCAGACCTTTCCTGCAGCTCCAACAAGTCCCAGGCCGTGGCAGTGTCTTTTTGTGGACGTTCAAGGCTGCCGTTTGCCAGCCTCCAAAACTCCCCAAACCCTCCCCTGCAGCTCCCAGGCGCCACTCAGGCCGCGGCAGACCTTTCCTGCAGCTCCAACAAGTCCCTGAAGCCGTGGCAGTGTCCTTTTAAGGAGGTTCAAGGCTCCCGTTCGCCAGCCTTCAAAACTCGCCAAAACTCCCCAAACCCTCCCCTGCAGCTCCCAGGCGCCACTCAGGCCGCGGCAGACCTTTCCTGCAGCTCCAACAAGTCCCTCAGGCCGTGGCAGTGTCCTTTTATGGAGGTTCAAGGCTGCCTCTTGCCAGCCTTCGAAACTCGCCTAACTCCCCAAACCCTCCCCTGCAGCTCCCAGGCGCCACTCAGGCCGCGGCAGACCTTTCCTGCAGCTCTAACAAGTCCCTGGGGCCGTGGCAGCGTCTTTTTATGGACGTTCAAGGCTGCCGTTTGCCAGCTCTCAAAACTCCCCAAACCCTCCCCTGCAGCTCCCAGGCGCCACTCAGGCCGTGGCAGACCTTTCCTGCAGCTCCAACAAGTCCCTGAGGCCGTGGCAGTGTCCTTTTAAGGAGGTTCAAGGCTGGTTTGCCAGCCTTCAAAACTCGCCAAAACTCCCCAAACCTCCCCTGCAGCTCCCAGGCGCCACTCAGGCCGCGGCAGACCTTTCCTGCAGCTCCAACAAGTGAGGGCGTGGCAGTGTCTTTTTATGGACGTTCAAGGCTGCCGTTTGCCAGCCTTCAAAACTCACCAAGCTCCCAGGCGCCACTCAGGCCGCGGCAGACCTTTCCTGCAGCTCCAACAAGTCCCTGAGGCCGTGGCAGTGTCCTTTTATGGAGGTTCAAGGCTGCCTCTTGCCAGCATTCGAAACTCGCCTAACTCCCCAAACCCTCCCCTGCAGCTCCCAGGCGCCACTCAGGCCGCGGCAGACCTTTCCTGCAGCTCTAACAAGTCCCTGAGGCCGTGGCAGCGTCTTTTTATGGACGTTCAAGGCTGCCGTTTGCCAGCCCTCAAAACTCCCCAAACCCTCCCCTGCAGCTCCCAGGCGCCACTCAGGCCGCGGCAGACCTTTCCTGCAGCTCCAACAAGTCCCTCAGGCCGTGGCAGTGTCCTTTTATGGAGGTTCAAGGCTGCCTCTTGCCAGCCTTCGAAACTCGCCTAACTCGCGAAACCCTCCCCTGCAGCTCCCAGGCGCCACTCAGGCCGCGGCAGACCTTTCCTGCAGCTCTAACAAGTCCCTGAGGCCGTGGCAGCGTCTTTTTATGGACGTTCAAGGCTGCCGTTTGCCAGCCCTCAAAATCCCCAAACCCTCCCCTGCAGCTCCCAGGCGCCACTCAGGCCGCGGCAGACCTTTCCTGCAGCTCCAACAAGTCCCTGAGGCCGTGGCAGTGTCCTTTTAAGGAGGTTCAAGGTTGCCGTTTGCCAGCCTTCAAAACTCGCCTAACTCGCGAAACCCTCCCCTGCAGCTCCCAGGTGCCACTGAGGCCGCGGCAGACCTTTCCTGCAGCTCTAACAAGTCCCTGAGGCCGTGGCAGCGTCTTTTTATGGACGTTCAAGGCTGCCGTTTGCCAGCCCTCAAAACTCGCCAAACCCTTCCCTGCAGCTCCCAGGCGCCACTCAGGCCGCGGCAGACCTTTCCTGCAGCTCCAACAAGTCCCTGAGGCCGTGGCAGTGTCCTTTTAACGAGGTTCAAGGCTGCCGTTTGCCAACCTTCAAAACTCTCAAACCCTCCCCCCTGCAGCTCCCAGGCGCCACTCAGGCCGCGGCAGACCTTTCCTGCAGCTCCAACAAGTTCCTGAGGCCGTGGCAGCGTCTTTTTATGGACGTTCAAGGCTGCCGTTTGCCAGCCCTCAAAACTCCCCAAACCCTTCCCTGCAGCTCGCAGGCGCCACTCAGGCCGCGGCAGACCTTTCCTGCAGCTCCAACAAGTCCCTGAGGCCGTGGCAGTGTCCTTTTAAAGGAGGTTCAAGGCTGCCGTTTGCCAGCCTTCAAAACTCTCAAACCCTCCCCTGCAGCTCCCAGGCGCCACTCAGGCCGCGGCAGACATTTCCTGCAGCTCCAACAAGTCCCTGAGGCCGTGGCAGTGTTCTTTTAAGGAGTTCAAGGCTGCCGTTTGCCAGCCTCAAAACTCTCAAACCCTCCCCTGCAGCTCCCAGGCGCCACTCAGGCCGCGGCAGAACTTTCCTGCAGCTCTAACAAGTCCCTGCGGCCGTGGCAGCGTCTTTTTATGGACGTTCAAGGCTGCCGTTTGCCAGCCCTCAAAACTCCCCAAACCCTCCCCTGCAGCTCCTAGGCGCCACTCAGGCCGCGGCAGACCTTTCCTGCAGCTCCAACAAGTCCCTGAGGCCGTGGCAGTGTCCTTTTAAGGAGGTTCAAGGCTGCCGTTTGCCAGCCTTCAAAACTCCTCAAACCCTCCCCTGCAGCCCCCAGGCGCCACTCAGGCCGCGGCAGACCTTTCCTGCAGCTCCAACAAGTTCCTGAGGCCGTGGCAGTGTCCTTTTACGGAGGTCCCAGGCTGCCGTTTGCCAGCCTTCAAAACTCGCCAAAACTCCACAAACCCTCCCCTCGGCGACCATCACAAGTCTAAGCGCAATGATCTCTCTCTCTCTCTCTCTACCGGACCACCCCCAATAGGGGGGTCGGCGGCACCAGGGCGCTAGCCCATTCTATAACCCAGCCAGAAACTCCCCATCCCGCCTCGGCATTGACTGATGACCTCCTTCACGGCCTCGTGGTGGGCATCACTTCGAGCACCTGCACCACGGTGCCCTCGTGGTGGGCAGCCCGAAAGCCCGAAAGGGAAGGAAAAAGGACATGGGTCATCTCAGGAAATTTATGCTCAACATGCTTGAAACATGCTTGAAACATGCTTGAAACATGCTTGAAACATGCTTGAAACATGAAACCACCAATCAAATCATGATCAATGGGGTGTTTTTAAGGGAATACACTAGGAGTATCTCACAACCAACCATGGGAACACAATCGTAATATCATGGGATATGCTATCTAATGAGATATTGAATCCCCATGTTCAAGGCGTATGAAATTCTGAGAGTGGAAACTGCTTCCTGTTTCTTCTTCCGTCTCCAGACATCGGTCGGAAGACATGAATGCTGCGGTTGGCAATTCATCAATGAACTGAAATGGGGGGCAGTAATCAAAAGACATGAGGTTTAAACTTAAACATGTTTAAACCAGCCATTAGAAATCAAAACTATAAATGAGCAGTGTGTATAATATACACAATATGTAACCAACAATATCGGGATGTGGAGTAAAATGGTGACATCCAAGGTGGTGCCCCCAGCAGTTTCAATGGGAACAACACGCGTCTACCTTGATCGAAATGGCTCGATGGAAAATCTGTAGGAGACCATGGTTTTTCCCCAAAAAAGGCACAGGGGTGTCCTGTAAAAATTCCCTTAAAACCATCCAATGATGCTTCAACGCCCTATTAATGATGTGATCCATATAATTACAGAACAACTCGCCTATATGGCCTATGAAAATTGACATGTTTTGGTGGTCTTGAAAGGAGTACAGTAATCAATAATATGGCGCGCGGATGTATCAGCTGGTGCATCCATGTTATTGGTCATACATGACAGATCGCAGCTGGCTAATTATTAAGTCATCATACTTACGGTGCCCATTCTATTGATCAGATGCGTTTAGAACCTTATAATTCGTCAACCTTTAATGTAAAATATCAGTTGACTCAGGAGTTGGTTGTCCATCAGTTTCTGGGTTTGGGGAAGCCTGGTTCTGCACCACGCAAGCAAAATTAACATCATCGGTGCAAGGTTGAAGCAACCCTGTACTTTGATGGATCTGAATATCCCAAGTGATGTTCTTATACATGTTCTTACCATTCCCCCAAAGAATCTGGGTCGCTTTAGGGTAACCAGGGCTTCCCAAGTAAATTGGCAAGTAATTCAGGATGGGCATTGGATTTTACTATGCTTTACGGACGGAACAATCTCAGAAATGGAGTCAATTATATCCCAGAAATCATATCCCAGAAATCATATCCCAAACATATTCCAAACATATACCCATAAACATATTCCCATGTCTATGAAAATTTCTTGGCTTTAGCACATTGCCCATCATCCCAGCGACGCTGCCGTGCACGCCGTGGCCCGTGGCACCGTTGCGCAGCAGTGAGATGACGGGTGCAAAAAGAAGATCTTTATAGGCGTCCACCTCTCGCAGTTCGACCCGAAAAGAGTGGAACAGTTCGTTGGTAAAACGTGCGCTGAATTCTACAATGTGAGGCCCCAGTAAACGATAGCGTTCAGTTGGTGAACATAACTCCAATAACTATGGTTTATGGTACTTATAACTATAGTTACTGGGGCTTATCAATCAACTTATAACTGCGGGGCCTCACATTCTATGGTTTCTTTATGGTAGATATACTGATGGTTGGTGGTTGACCTACCCCTCTGAAAAATATGAGTTCGTCAGTTGGGATGACTACTCCCAATATATGGAAAATAAAAAATGTTCTAAACCACCAACCAGTTTATGGTAGATATACTGTATCTATACTTGATAGGTTTTATAATTGTGTTTATACTGAAGTGTTTTTGAAGCAACTGTTTTGATAAGGGGGCCCACCATGTAGCTTTTTCGGACAGCTGGTCATCTAATAAAGCAACACCCAAGCTAACACAGAAAGGCCGGTGACGAATTACTGTTCAATCTTGCTGGAGGGTTCTACAGATGGAACAACGAAATAATCTTTTCTGTTTGGGGGTTGATCATTTTGACCCATACACAATTAAGACATTTTAAGACCCAGTTCAAGTTGAAACTACCCATAAGTAGGCTAAGTGTGATTTGAATGGAATTACTAGCCAAATTCATTTGCAACCGGGAGAGAGTCAAACCCATCAACTAAACTAAAGGGCTAAGAGAGATTTTGGTCTAGAGAGACCATGAATTTCCCCAACAAAAATGAGCGGTTTACCGTTTACCTCCTCAAATATCTCCGACCTGTTAGCACGCTGACCCATTCTTATAGGCACTTTGAGGGTCAAAATAAATGCCATGTAAGGGTATGCAACTATCAAACAAAGAGTCAAGACTATCAAACATTGGGATTAAACTGTCACTCACCATGCCAAAAACATAACCTTGTGGTGATGAGACCATCATAATTCAATGTCATGCCAGGAGCTTCAGGCATTTATCCATGCTTTGGGGTATCATATCGCCTTTGCTCAATGCCTATTCCTTTTGGTAAACATGCCATTCAGGGAGGTTGAGGGCATGTGGACAGTCCACCATTTGTAGATCATTTTTTTCCCAATCAAAAATCATGGTGTGTCCATATCTTTGTCTCTACCCTAGGCTATTCCATAGGATGATTCTACAACGTGGCTGTTCCACCGGAGCTGGGTCAGTTTCAACAAGCGGAGCTGGGTTCATGCCGTGTTTTCTCGAAACCTATACTTTTGGCAGCTTGAAATAGGATCAATACGTGAAACATGTGTAAATCATTTTTTTGTCATGAAATATGCGAAAGTCCCCAAATGTTCATGCCCACTATCCCTGGTTGCAACCTTAGACCCAAATAGAGCAGGCTAGCGATATTGCCAAAAATGGATTGTATTTAATCAACCTTTCCGATGTGGTTGACTGATGCCCCCAGGCTCTGTAAGCAAATTTGTAACCCCCGTGAATAATATACTTGTATCAATGCTAGTTAACCAACTTGTTTGCGGCAACTTAGGTGCGTTTTGCAAACACACCCATTGTTCAGTCATCCAATCAGTTATAAAATAACATGCTTCCTTTTTGTTTTTGAACATATACCTGTGTGTTTTACTATTTTTCGTATTCCATCAAAACTTTGCTAGATATACCTGCTGGTAACCAAACATGGCTCACCGGAAAATCCACCATTTATGGTTGATGTTCCCATTAAACCTTCCATTGATCGGGGATTTTCCAGCTAGCCATGTTTGATTACCCAAGTTTAAATCCCATTAAATCATAATTAGCATGACAGCAAATTTCAACAAAATCCAAAAACAAATCCAAAAATAGACCATTTTTGATATTTTGAGAATTTATCCATTTTGAATATCAGATTCCAATATAGACCATCAAAACCATCCATTTTGAGAAACCCCAGTCTGTGATACCGGTGATACCACGTCGCCAAGAAACGATCATGTCAATGTGAACGCCGGTGCTAAACAGGGTCGCCTTGATGAACCGAAGAAAAGGGATGAACTACGATAGATTCTCCGTTTCTAGCCATACAATGATTGTGTTTTAGCCCATCGTTTTAATACGTTTCATGTACTGTTACCATTTTCTAGGGGTATAAAATGAAGGGTCTAGTTATAACATGTTATAAATTGGGACCCCTGAACTACGAAATCAGAAGTTGATTGAAACCCGGCATGAATATATACCACATAGCCTGAATAAGGGACCCCAAACAAATCAATTTGCTGCACATTTTGACCATGGTTCCTAAGGAGCATCTAATTTTAGTAGGAAAGGATTGAGCCTCCATCATGACAGATGTTGGGGTAAGACGACCACAGTGCTGAGGTTGTATGTACATCTTGCACCGTGTCTTCTTTTCTGAATTCGCAACCTGACCATCTCTTGACAGCGGGAAGCAAGCAAAGTGCTCCAAAACTCATCTCTGTGCAGAAAATTGAACAAGCAAACATTATTGAGGTCACCAACTCGCCAATGTATACATGTATATGTATATAATATTGTATATATATAATACTGTATATATATATATTATGTACATATTATATTGTGTATACGTATATTGATCTATATTGATGTATGTAATAATATGTGTATACTGTCAATATTGATCAATATCTATACCTAGTGAATTGGTCAAACGTCCAATTTGCCATAAAGATCACTGAATTGACCCCAAAAAAATGAGCTATTCTTGTACCCGCTTCAGTCATCGTAACTGGCAATACAAACATCTTTGAACATCCCTTCTCACTCCAGATGACGTTCAAATTCTCAGAAATCTCAACCCTCCAAAAAATTGCCCGCTTCAATCGTTGCAGCCTAAATTTCATTTGTGTTGTTTACAGGTGATGTTCCAACAGTTTAAACTACAATTTCATTTTAGCATAGATGCTATGTAATTACATATATATATATGTGTGTGTATGTCCATCCTTCTCTTTAACTATTTCTGTTGATATATGGGTTTGTCTGAAAATAGTGTACCCCTACACCCAATGGTTTTGCTGATCATTATCCCTACTAAATGGCTATTTCATTGGGGGTATACCCCATTTTCAGACATACCCATATGTTTTCAACGGAAAAAATCAACCAGACATCGCCATGGTCATGTCATCTCCCTGCACCTTCTGTTGCTCGGACCACAACTCGGGGACCGCCTCGATGAGTCCCTGGGTAATGCGATTGCCATCGCAGCTCACCAGGACCTCGGAAGCGTCGCCAGATGACTCATCATTGGGGCTGGGGGGATGTTACAGTTATGGCCATTTACTAGTTATAATTGGTTCTTTCTATGGGATTATACCTTCTATAAATGGGGTTTTCTTAGTACTTATAACTGGTATTTTGGGCCATAACTGTACTAACTTAAAGTTAACTCTTGGGAGTTTCAATGTTGGGATTAAAGGTTCAGAAACAAGTTAATCTTGGGAATTTCATTCACTGAATAGTGTTCTTGGGAGTTCATTAAAAAAATCTTGGGAATCCCCATTCATATATCATCTATGACATTCTATCGCATTTTATATATAGACATATTCTATCATCAAATCATTTTATATAGTTGTTTTTCTCGCTTCCATCATCGATTCATATAATATAATAATGGAATATCTTATTTTGTATAATGATGTAGTATATCCAGGTAAATCATTGTAAATCATATTAGAATGATATTACAACATTAAATCATTCTATATTTCTATATAAATTCACAATTCTGAGATCATTAGCCACTTAAAGACGTAGTAGTCACTTCAGTCGTGCCGCGGTCCAAGATGGTCCAAGATGGTCCAAGATGGTCCAAGATGGTCCAAGATGGTCCAAGATGGTCCAAGGAACCAGGTTGGTGCCCGAATCCCAGGCGGAGGCCACTTCGGCGGCGCACCACATGCGCTTCATGGTCTCTGAGGTCATGAGGACCACCACGTTCCTCGCGACTCGGTGACTCGGTGACCACCGAATTTGCCGAATTTGTTTGGTGTCCAAAACGGAGATGGAGAAAAAACAGGCGCAAAAATATGGGGAATTTAGGTAGGATTTGATGATTTTATATGATTTTAATGGAATATATCGTGTGGATATACTATCAATAGATCGAGAATTCTGGTGATTTTATGGGATTTAATAATGGAATATATTGTATATACAGTATGTATACATAGCATTAATCAATATATATATATGGAGATTTATTGGAAGATAATATAACTCACCAACAATGTTAGATTTACGTACTTGGGTGTCCATCTGGGTTAGTGGTTAACAATAATATCAATATAAGTATATATATATATATTAATTATACGTGGATTAAACGTCATAACCCATTTCGAAAGTGGGATGCACCCCACACGTATATAAACTATGGTCATGTGGATGTAATATGGATACATATAATCATATATATATATACGTAAAATATGGAGCAATTGTGAATTGAAAATAATTGAAATATGAATAGCAAAGCCGCTTCCATTGGCTTTCATGAGATATTGATATAGTATGGCTCTTTCCCAACCAATTTAAGCCAGGCTCCTCGAAGCAAACGCTGCCGCTAGGATTGTAATGAGTTTGAACTGATATGAATCGATGGGTTGTCTGAAAATGGAGCACCCCGCAATTTCAATGGTTGTGCACACCATTTCCTGAATGATTGCTTAAAGGATGTTGAAGGTATACCCAATTTTGAAACGCACCCATACGCGCTATTGTCTAAAGTATGGTCATCCCAGCATCATGAACAGGAATTCTCAATCAATGGGTATATCAGTCCAATGTTGGTGCTTTTTTGTTGTATCAACAAATGGATATCAAGTGTACAATTCATTACAATTCCATATTAATCAATATTTTTCAATGGGTATAGTATTTGTTTGTGGCTTTTTTGGCCCCTATGATACCCCGGTGGAATGACCATCGACGGTTGAACGATCGCTCAGCATCTCTGTATCCCAAGAGGTCACATCGAGAATGGCATCCAGTTTGCTCACCTCACAGGCGAGGGCTGAAACACGCGACTGTGACGAGGATCAAAACAGTATGCTTAGGGCGCAGGGTGGCTTCACATGATGAAACATAGATGAAGAAAGAAAACAAAGCAACATGATATGATTGAGTTATCTACATTGATCTTCAATAATAATAATAGTACCAATAATAGTAATAATCAATGTAATAATAGTAATAATAATAGTAGCAATAATAGCAATAATGTAATAATAATAATAGTAATAATAGTAATAATAATGTAATAATATTATGAAGAACCGAGCCAGCTACACATTGGAAATCTTTAAAATATTTATTTTTTCATTTTTTTAAAATCATTTTGGTTATCATTGCATTCATCTTTTTTTATCATTTATTTTATCATCTTCATTTTTTTAATCATTTTAGGTATCATTTTTTATCATTTTTTTTATCATTTTTTTAATCATTTTTTTAAATCATGTTTTAATCATTTTTCAGTGGTGCAAAAATTTTCCAAGAAATGGAAAATTACAATTTTCCTCGGGTTTTTTTCATTTTTTTCATGTTTCAATCATTTTTTTAATCATTTTTGCTTCCAGTGGTGGAATTGATGAAAAATGATAAAACATGATGAAAAATGATAAAACAATGATAAAAAATGAAAAAACATGATAAAAAAAATGAAAAACATGAAAAAACTCGAGGAAAATTGCAATTTTCAAAAAAATGAAAAAATGCAATTTTCCTCGAGTTTTTTTTTTCATTTTTTTCATTTGTTTTTTTATTTATTTTTTTATTTTTTTTTCACTTTTCATCATTTTTTGCTTCCAGTGGTACAAAAATTTTCCAAGAAATGGAAAATTACAATTTTCCCCGAGTTTTTTTTTCATTTTTTTTAAAATGTTTGCTTCCAGTGGTGGAATTGATGAAAAATGATAAAAAATGATGAAAAATGATAAAAAAAAATGAAACAAAAATGATAAAAAAAATGATAAAAAAATGATAAAAAAAATGAAAAAAAACGAGGAAAATTGCAATTTTCCAAAAAATGAAAAATTGCAATTTTCCCCGGGTTTTTTTCATTTTTTTTCATTGTTTTATCATGTTTTTATCATTCTTCATCATTTTTGCTTCCAGTGGTGCAAAAATTTTCCAAGAAATGGAAAATTACAATTTTCCTCGATTTTTTTTCAATTTTTTTATCATTTTTTTTTATATTTTTTTAATCATTTTTGCTTCCAGTGGTGGAATTGATGAAAAATGATAAAACATGATGAAAAATGATAAAACAATGATAAAAAATGAAAAAAACATGATAAAAAAAATGAAAAAACATGAAAAAAATCGAGGAAAATTGCAATTTTCCAAAAAATGAAAAATTGCAATTTTCCTCGAGTTTTTTCCATTTATTTTTCATTTTTTTCATTTTTTATAATTTTTTTTTCATTTTTTTATCATTTTTGCTTCCAGTGGTGGAATTGATGCAAAATGATAAAAAATGATGAAAAATGATAAAAAAATGAAAAAATGAAAAAAAATATAAAAAAATGAAAAAAAACTCGAGGAAAATTGTAATTTTCCATTTCTTGGAAAATTTTTGCACCACTGGAAGCAAAATGATGAAAAATGATGAAAAAATGATTAAAAAAATTAAAAAATGATAAAACAATGATAAAAAAATGATAAAAACATGATACCTGAAATGATTTAAAAAAATGAAGATGATAAAATAAATGATAAAAAAAGATGAATGCAATGATAACCAAAATGATAAAAAATGAAAAAATAAATATTTTGACCTGGCCCAGTCTGTGGCTGCAAGTTTTTCATAGTAATAATAAACATAGTAATAATAATAGTAATAATACTAATAATAATAGAAATAATAGCAATATATAGTATATAATTCTGTGTATATATATATATAGTATATAAATAAAAAAATATATATATATATGATATGATTGAGTTACCATGGGTGATCGTCAAATCCAAGCCATATTTTCATTTGGCATCAAAAAGGCCAATTTATGAGGCAGCCGATCACTCACAAGTCTCCTCGTCGCTTGGAATACTTCAGGGCCTACAGCCTGCCTACATGGATGACGATCGGGCTTGGGATATGGGATATCAACGACGGGGTTTTTTAACCCAACAGCAGCTTCCAGAGTTCCAGAGTTCCCGGGGTTCCAGGTTGCCGTTCCGGTTTTCAGGGCTGATAAAAATACCGTGCACCACGCCCAGACCAAGAAATTGAAACCTAAAAGTCACGCTGTTGGGAACCATGGGATATGAATTACTGCAACAATTCTTGATTGATGTGGTGGGTAAGCTTATGTTTCCATGCATGTCATCTTTAAGACAAGATTCAATCCACATGATTGGTGGTATTGTTGAACTTTCACATGTCTCAACCATTTTATATGTTTCTTCAAACGGATTCCCGTAAAGGGTCACTTTATAATCCACACGCAGGTCAAGAAAAACAAGGAGCAACTCCCAGCAAAACTGACCGGTCCCGAGGCCTAGTCGGCAAGATCCATGAACATCCACACTGTTTGAGGGTTAAATACAGCATGCCCATGACAAACAACAATCCATCAATTTGTCGGATATGTGTTTTTTGTTTTTACCTGCTATCAACTTCAAGAGCGTATTTTAAAAAAATGCTGCCTCTTGAAAGCAAAAAGTGAAGCAAACACTGGAGAAAAACATGAACAATATAATTATCGATCAATCGAAGCTCTTTGGTTTTGGTGTATTTATGGTGATATTTTTTCAGTTCCAAGTTGCTTTCCGTTACTCCATCTAACTTTGGTTATCCAATCACCATCAACCCTAGTGAATTATCAGTGAACAAAACCAATTGAGAAAACGAACTGGGTCGCCACCTTGTATGTTACATATATATATACATGATACATGATATATTTCCTTATATTTCCCATTTTTAAGTAGAGCGTACCCGTGGCTTCCCAGTCTCCTTATATTTGGTTTCCCAGTTGACGACGTTTTTGTTCCGCCGGAGTGACATCATCGGAGTCCAAAAAGATCCGGTCAGTAATGCGCTCGTTCAGCATCATTTTGAACCACCTGAAAGGCCCCAACGATGAAAAAGCTGGAGGAACTGCTGGTATCCCCAAATCATCCATTTTCGTTGGATCTTCCGCTATAAACCATGCGTTATGGGGTACCCCCCATTTCAGGAAACCCCCAAATGAACGTTTCATGATGATGACAACGGAAAAGGGCGGTTGAAATCTGCTGATATATTGCTAGACTTATGCTTTAGTAAAAAGCATAAGTTGGAACTGTAGAATATGGGTGTCGAACAAAAAAAACTAGGGGGATGGCATTATAGCATTATAATGTTTCATGAGGATTATGACACATAGCAACCACGATTAACACTACTATTAAGCACTTTTAACTACTATTTAAAAAAACACATTACCCAGATGATACTATCAGTTTCCTGTTGCATGGCAGAAGGCACATCTTTTACCCTGCCTCAACGATCGTGTAATCAATGTAGAAAAGTAGGCTGTGCGTTTCGCTAACGTCTGCGTTGCTACGTGTTGCTACAAGGTGGTGGTTTCCTGAAATATTACTCCATTTAACATATTAACTATATATACCATCTGGTCACTTAACATAGCCATGGAAAATCACAATTTTTAATAGGTAAACCATCTATACTGGTTGGTGGTTTTAACCATCCTGAAAAATATTGGTCAGTTGGGATGATTATTCCCAATATATGGGAAAAAACACCAACCAGTATATCTATATCTATATCTATATATACCTGGAGCCTGGAGGATGTTAATTTTAGAGCTGGGCCATGTTTACCCATGAAGCACGCCCCCACTCGTCAAGACACGCCCCTCTTTGGAAAACATGCCCCCAATGATATTGATCATATATATGAAGGATCATCATTTCTGATGAATTCAATGATATCTCCACTTCCATGATTCTTTTGGGGTATATCCAATATCAAATTACCCCAGCCGCCCGCACTCGCTGCTCGTGCAACCTATCGACTGGGGCAGCTTTGACAGCTGGTGCTGGGCTGAGAAGGAGGGGTGGTGGATGGTGATAGATTTATTCAATGGGCCCTTGATAGACGCATTTTTTTTCCTCCACATGGCCTGACAATCATCAAAATTACTGCGCATACAGCCCACGAGCATCATGATCAGCTCTTTCTGCAGCATACATACTGCAAATCAGGAGACGTTCTAACAGCCACACATGTAGCAGCATACTTGCACTAACCCGCCTGCTCAATCTGGCAGGTTTCCCTATAAAATCCACCTGCATTGCACAACTCGTTGAAAGCGGGGAGACAACCCAATCGGCAGTCTGAGATTCAACCACCAAGCGAAGACCCGAATGGTGAACAAAGTGTAGTTTGGGCATAAGGGGATATCTGTTTAGACCATCCCTGTAGCACAACTTTGCACACTGATCATACTGTTGGACAAAACCAATCAAAAGGCGACCCAATTTCATCCCGTAGAAGGACCGGATCCAGAACCCATGGCTGAACATGAAGGACAAAGCTGCATTCACTGCCTTGGTGCCCTTGTCCTAAGATCGCTTATATATGTCAAAAAAAACATATGATTGTTAGTTTTTTGGTGGTGACCATGTTCAAAACTAAACTAAAGCTTCTTAATCCCAGTCAAAGGGACCACTGACAGCAAAACAGGATCACCAGTTTGACCAACAACATAGCGAGTAGTGAAATGTTCCAAAAACTGGCAAAATTGGGTCGAGACTTGACCTTTCGACCACTGTCCAACTGGAGAAGAGCTGCTTTGAGGCCAGTTCAGAGTAGTCCTGGAAATCTCACTAAGGTATGGTGACATCCTCCGCAAGCGGCAAAACGATTTGAACTCTGTAGTAAGCCAAGCAAACTTAGCTTCCACAGATCCCTGCAAAGGCCCAATCACAAGCCTCTCCACCACTGACACTAGCGAGGCCCCCACCCAATGTTTCAGGCATCCCAAATGCAGGTTGTGCCAAATGTCGCTCTCAAAGAACTGGGCACGACGGCTTTGGTCAAGAGGGAGACCACTGAAAATTGTTGGTTCAGTTGACCAAGGGTCAGTGGTGTACATCGTAGGCAGCCACCTAGGTTGTAGAGAAAAATCCTCATACGGCACATGCTCTTGCCCTCGGTTATTCGATTCCTGGCCTCCAAGACAGTAGTGGCAAATTCCTACACTTGCACTGCGGCTGGAAGCTGCCTTTGGGACATGTGAGAAACTCCGTTCAAAGGAACCCAACTTCGAAAGTGCAGGAAGGTCTCCCTTTGTTGCTAAATGCAGCAAGTAGACATGCTTGGTTCCATCACTACTTGTGATTCCCTCATGGATCAATTTCTCGCAGTCAGCTGCAAAAACGCCCACTAGAATGTCCAAAGCATCGGGTCTATGGCTCATGAGATGCCGAACCAGGGTTGCAAAGAGAAAATGGGTGGCATATGTATTTCCGACAAAGTTCAGGCCCATCTGTTGCCTGGGTAAAGGCATTTCATGTTTCCTCTTTCGGATGTAGGAATTGGTGCCCCTGCCTATGCAGCCATGCGCTGATAGAACCCAAATGGGCTTGGACTTGTATGTTCTCCCTTCATCAGTGTGGGAATAGAACGGAATTGTTCTCCTCAAGTCACATGGCAGCGTAAACACTTCGTGTTGCGGGTACAAGGCTTGGTAACGGGACCAAAATTCACCCAGGACATCTTGCATTTTCTCCCAGCTGCTCACACCACAAAATTGACGCCAAAGCCGGTTTGTATCAAGTAGCCATTGGACCCATGAACTCAACCTGACATAGGGGATGTGCGTCAAACCTTCCTCAGTTAGGTATTCTAGCTTGACAGGAGCACAATAGCCCAAAGTTTGGAACAACTGATGACACCCGCTCTCTGCATCTTGAAGTGGGATACGAGCAAAGCTTCTAACAGCTTCATCAGCACGTGGGTTTCCTTCCACCTCCGCACGCGCCAGCTGCACCACATGGGAGCATGGGACCTTAGAGGGAGCAAATGCCGAGAGAATTTAGGAATATCACCAGGGAAAGGCAAAAAATAGAGACAACAATACATGTTTACACTCACTCATGCAGGTTGGAGCAAGTAAAGGCACAACAAACACCCTTTTTCCGCGTAGCTTGAATCCACGCTTTGCATCATATCATAGATTAAACTTTGATTTGAAGAGTAGGCTTCAACCCACCCAGCGGCTCTGGTCCGCCCGGCCCCCAACCACATATGTATAAAATGGGGGACAAGACGCAACAGTGGTTCTATTGAGGGCACCTTCACCGCCAGAATCGGGTTTGTTTCTGCACCCTATGTGCTTTCCAAACTCCGAAATCAGAGCTGCTTCCAGCATATGAATTAAGTCTTGGCTATCAGATTCAGCAAGTACCCACATACAGCTGTACCCCCTTTCCAAGAACCATTCAAAGCGACGTTTGGGATTGCTGGTGACCCCAATTTTGAAAATGCAAATCCGAATGCCCATGGTTTCCCTCATGGAAGTGATTTGATTTTTAGCATGGGCCAGGATTTTGCCACAAGAGGGCCTGCTACGTGTAACCAAACATTTTTTGACCAACCCCGAAGAACGGAGCTGTTCCCAGTCAGAACTTAAACCATTTTCACAAGTCATCTCCTTGATAGAGAGAGCTTGGCTGGCACCATCGGATTCCTTAGCTGGGCTGGATCGATTAGGGCTACCAAAACACGGTAAAAACAAAAAAACCCACTTACTTTACCCAGAGTGTGACAAGCTCGTGTGCCAAGGTGCTGGCTGTTGATGCTGTGCGGTAGCCAGAAGATTGTCAGATCGGGTGAAGTATTCCATCAATGGATCCCATTCATCATCATCAGTAAGAAGTTGTTGGGATGTCCTTAGGTCTAGACCACTTTTATTATCTATTGAAACCTTGGGAATCCTTTGGACCATCATTGGCACACATAACTTGGGAAAGATTAGACAAGTGGCTTCAGAAACTTCACAGCATCGCATCCATTGACAGCATCGACATTCCGCTTGGTCCCCATATGAGCAATGAAGTCCAGGAAGTTGGTTTGAAAGTTCTGACAAAAATATATGAAATAAAAATTGTGTTGGAAATAATTGTTTGGCTGCCAAGGTTTAGAAGATCCCAATTGGAATGTTCATGTCTTTTTCAAGTATGTTTGGTCCCAATTGTGGCTGCAGCAGAGTGCATTCACAATCCCATGCTAAGTATTGACACATTGATGCCTGGGCAGACATCCCACCCCATTTGACAGAAAAACACATGAGACCCCGGCCCCGTAGCTGATGAGCCGTGCACAATGGTCCAAGAAGTTGTTGTCGTTTGGGCCCTGGTTGCGGCGATGCAATGCACCTGGCATGGCGGGCAGAGACTAAGAATTTTTAATGTAGAATAATATAAAGGGTCAAACAGTGGGGAAAAATCTCAATATTTCTAAATGCTGGTGAATTTGGATGATTTTTTTTCTTTCCCAAGTAAGTAAAGCACCATTTTTGTTGGAGTATGAGTATGAGAAACCATCTGCAACGGATCGTGTGTGTGTGTGTGTATTCCAACTTCATTTTTTTATGTTCAACGCAGCGTCTATTTGACCATCCACAGATTGTCACGTGCTTTGCACATGTTCACCCCCAAGGGCAGGTGTTGACAACACCCACCAAACCACTTGAAACTCTTTTGGATCCTACCACCCAGTCAAACCATTGGGGTCCCCAAGCAAAATCTGTGAATGATGGGCCGCTTTCATGTTTGACCGGGATCCCAAAACCCAGGTGCTGGTGCAATCACTGGTCCTTCTGGAGCAACTTCAAGGCATTCCTCAGGCGTGCTGGGGTGGAAGTTGTATTTCTGTTCTGTTGCCATTGTGCAGTATATAATAAAAACATGTACACTACAGTCACAGACCATTCCATGGAGATACCCCCCATTCCATGCCGAGCAAAAAACAACTTAGATTTCTGTATGGCAATTGAGAACAACAAGCGCTCACTGCAAACGGGGATCCTGCCCCCGATCTCGGCAGTCGTGACTTTGCTACACCTTAGCTTTTGGCACCCATGCGCACCCTGCCCTCCTTGGTTGGACCATGCCATGACCCGGAAGGATGGTGCAAGACTCAGCTGCAAGACAAGGCACGCAACCGTCGTCGCTTTGACTTGCCGGTCCACCTGTTTCAGCAACCTTGGTGACAACTAGATATTCCCAGCGAAGTACAAACCACATTGGTTCATTGAAAGGTTTCTTGTTGGGACACAAAGATGAGGTTCAGCAATACTTGAGGCTAAAACTCTGAAATGGTAGCCTCTTTCGAATCTTTTGCGGTTTTCAATGGGCCCACTTCCACTTTGACAGCCTCGATCTTTTCAAACTGTTCCTGCAAGATCGTCACGGCGCTTTCGAGGTTCTTGACAGACCTGAATGGAAGCTGGCCAAGGTGGAGCACGGGAGTAAGGTGCGCAGGCTGCATGATGGGGAACAGACCATCAGTGCTTTCAATTTTTCCTAGGGCTATGGCTGTTCAGCACGTTTCCTTTCAGGGGAATCTACCTCCTTCTCCCCCATCTCAGATTCAATCTTGCCGATCAAATCAGTCAGTTTGGTAGATCGTGTCAACAAAGAATCGCCCAGCTTCTTTAAGTTGTTGAACTCCTGTGAAAATGTTAAGGTTGTTTGTGACAAAACATGAAAAGCAATGCAGCTGTTAGCCATATATTATTGGTTCCATGGGCTTGCACAAGCGAACAGCCAAATCGTCCTGCTGTGGGCCCACGGGGTCCGTTGTCTTGCCTTTGCCACTACTGTCACTTTCATCTTCGCTCGAATCAGGCACCTCGGTCTTCTTGGCCTTCGCAAAGCTACGGAAGCCTGAAGCCTCAGCCGGGCTGGCAAATTGGAAGGCAGGATGAAATACCTGCAATGTCCCTCCCCGCCCAATAGAAGTTTGTGTCAGACTCCATCTATATAATATATAAGATATATTGATATATTTCATAAACCATATATTTCATAAACCACAGGGCGGTCAAGTTTATAAATATATCTACCTTTTGGGGGGGCCACATGGTGGAGAAATGGATTGTGCTCCATTACAGCTTAAAGAACATACGAGGTACTCTGCTGGTGTCCAGGGTTTCTTCTTCTCTCTCCTTTTCCTCATCGATATGTTCATCTTCCTCGTCTGAGGACACATCGACCTTGTACTTCAAGAGCTTCTTGTTATATTTGTCTTTCCTTGACTCATGTAAACACGGCTATGTCCGTTTCACTAGCATGTTGGCATGTGGTTGCACAAAAGGATGCAACATGTGTAGTATATTGTCTTGGCACAGTGCTATCATGTTCTATCAACAGTATTGAATAATGCAGTGGAGATTCTTCACCAACTTTCCTCCATGGCACTTCTTCTCGCAGTACTTGATGACCCCAGCAATGTAGGACCTCAAAGCTTTGAGGTCTAGGACCAGGACATGGAGTTATGGAACTCAACACATGACGGTGTTGATTATATAGGATATTTTACTGTTTGCCCCTTCAACCAAGTAACTTGCTCCAACCCAACTTTGTACGCATGGACTCAACTGTGTGCCAACCCCGACGTGTGCTGGCTTTCTTGCGAGTGATGGTTTCCTTGGAGCGGATGACTTTGGCCACAAAAGCGTCCTGCAAGACACCATGGGCACCAGGGGGATCACGGGAAGAGATGGGAAGAGTGAGAGATATACACAATTCATAACCTACATGTTTTTGGATGGGTCCTCTTTAAAGCCAGCTTCTTCAAGCATCTGGAGGAGCTTCTGCCGCGAATGGCCCCCCTTTGCCCACATTTGGTGTATGTCCTCTGGGACGCGAAGCTTCCCTGAGGGCTTGCGCTCGCAGAGCCTACGAAGTCTTCCTAACTTGGCTCCTTCTGATACGTCTTTCTCACTCTGTTCCTCTTCTGATTCCTGCTCTTCCTGCTCTTCCTGCTCTTCCTGCTCATCTTCCTCTGGGTCATTCTCTGAGTGAGGAGGTGTGGGATCTTTGCCTTTGGACTTGGCGACACGCTTGGACTTTGCTTTTGGGGTGGCTGTGGAGCCCTTGGAACTCTCGCTCTTCCCCTGCTTAGAAGCTTTTTCTAGAGCCTTTTGCGCTGCAGCAAGCTGTGCACGGAGTGTGTCGTTGGCCTGCGCGTCACATGTGAAACACATACATGTATAGGAGTCGGGTCACTGTTGGGATTCTAGACTGACAACACCACTGAAATTCTGAAGAAGGTATGTGAAGCTAAAACAAAAAACAGCATGGTGCCTCCTTCAAAGCTCCAATTTGTTTCTTCTGGTCTGGGTCTGGCGTCTTGAATTTCAAACGTCGGGACACATCATCTGCTACTGGCTTGGCTGTGTTGGTTGTCTTTTTCTTTGGCGGGGACTTGACAGGTGTACTTTGGTTAGAAGCAACAACTGCAGGTGGTCGTTGGTTCTTCGTTCGCTTGCTGGCATCAACACTTGCTGCTTTGGCAGCTGGTTTGGGAGCAGCTTTGGCTGCTGTGCATCTTTTTCCACGACCTTTGGATTCTGCTATTTCCTCTGCGGTTGCCTGGGCTTCAAACATATAAACCTTGTGCATATTAGCCATTGACAAAACCATCTTGCACATAAATTAGGCAAGAAACAGGCTGGGTCTCAGCATCGGCAAAGTCGTCCTTGTGTCGGCCCAGAGAGATGAGATGTGTGAAGCATTTTAGGGAGAAAGGAGCACCAACTACTTGAACACCAAACCCTGGATCTACTTCCATATGTACTTGTAAATGACACCAAGATACCGTTGAACTAGAAGCTTTGGTCTTCAAGGTTGCAATTTGGGCCTCGTACTCCTGTGTGGAAGCAGGAACAAAAGTGAATTCATGGTGGAGGGGATGCACATGCAAAACATGTGTGTGTGTGAAAAAGGTGTGTGTGTGCACATCTATGGACAACATTGAAAGCTAATGTCTCCTTGATTTTCTTCTTTAAGTCTTCCTCCTTCTCTGCTTCCTGCTTTATCTCTAGCATTTTTCTGCTTCCTTTTTCAAGTTCTGACGTGCTACGGTTGTTGGATTCCAACTTCCGCATGCTGGACACTACCCAAACCCTTCTTTTCTAAGGTCCGAACCAACACCTTGAGCATCACCATTGCGGATGAGGCATTGTGGGATTCAAACTTGCCGGAAAAGCTTCCAAGAGGAGGATTTTGGAAGAAAATGGACGGTTTCCCCCAATAAAATCTGATAAATTGAAGTACCATCAAAATCACCAAAAACACGCATTTTGTACGGCTTTTTGTACGGAAAAACACGCCCCTTGGATGGAAAAACACGTCCCCTGTACGGGTTGGTTTTGGGCGCACCTGCAAAACACGTGTTTTGCACGTGTTTTGCACGTGTTCTGAGATACGGGTAGTGAAACCTATAAACATCCATTAACAATGCATAAAGCTACTGAAATTCATCAAACCAAATCAAAGTAGCTCATCTTAGGCACCACAGTCTTTTCCACTGAAGCGCAGAAAGGTTTCTGTAGATGAAGCAGTCTGCCCTAGTGCAGATTGTCAATTACGCACCTGAATTTATTTGCAATTTTCACACACAGGGATTTGCTCAAGGCCATATTCTAAATTTCTGTGGGAAACAAGCGCCTTAAGCTTCCCAATTGAAGGCTTTTAGATGCCCTCAAGTAACGCATTGGAGATACCATATTGGCATCCTCCCAAAGGTCTCCCCATGGAAGAGATTCAAAAAAGGATTCAAGGTCAAGCTGCATGATGTCATCGGGCACATGACAGTCCACCACGCACTCTTCACAGAACCGCTTGTGCAACTTGCGGAGGCGAAGTCCAAAGCGAGGAGGATAGGTTCTCAGCAGGACACAGCAGGAGGGAGGGCAACTATTTGATATCTTATTGGTGTACAGGTGTCACTTGTCGGATAAACAAGTAAATCTGATGATCCCACTCTATAGTCTTATTATCTTTGAAATGTTGAATGTCAAAGCATGACTCTTGCCAATATTCAGGGACTTTTGCAGGATCCTGTTTAATTTCCCTCTTTATGAGACACAACACATCTATGTTCAGACAATTCCACTTTTCGGTATCCATGCCCCCTGCAACTCTTTGGGGTGATGGTTTCTAAAGGAGCCAACATTGCGGAAAAGACATCCCCAAATCACTAAACACAATCAAATTGTTCATGGATTGTTTAAGGTTTTGATGGATTGATGGAACAACATGGAACAACCAAAAGGTAAATTACATATCCCATTTGTTTCCCATTGGGGCCAAAATTGTCCTCAAACTGCCACTATGAAACCAGTGATTGAACCAACTAAGCCCATGACCCAGTAGATTTCAGGAATCGTGTCCCCTTGTAAGCCTTCCTACCGGATTTAGACCGGTAAACAGTGGCTGACTTTGCCCCAGATGACTTGGCCATCATTCCCTTTGCAAGGGTTCCAAGGTCCAACAGACCCACTGTCTTTGCATTCGATATGGCGTAGTGGCGCTTTGCCGTCAAACCTCCAAAAAGACCCATCCACCAAAAGGCCAGGAAGGCCTCAGGGGATAATGTTTTTGGGGTTGATCCTATTCGGGTAAAAAAGGTGGATCCCTTCCTAATTAAACATTTTAAGTTTACCCCAAAGAAAATAGCCAAGACGGATACGTTGGTGGGCCCCAAGATCGGCAAGTTGGGTCCCACAAAAAAATGTAGCAACTTGCAGCCCACAAAGATAGGAAAGTTTGTTATAACATGTCACAACTACACTTTCTGTGGTTTATGGCAAATCAACGGCTATAAGGTGTTATAAGTTGGTTGTATGGTGTTTTCTTTATAAAATATATATATACATATGTTTTATAATGTTTTATATATACTGTTTGTTTCTAGACTTACTCCTGGATTGTAGCTACAGCCCCAAATAGCCCCAAATCTACTTCCAAAATTAGTGGGCCTGAATCTGTGATTGGTACCCCCTTTGAAAATCCATTAATGAAGGTTACAATCAGCTTCATAAAAATCATCAAAACTCCAACCAAACAAGAACGCAAATCTACCCATAATATGACATATTTTTGCACCAGAACTGCTCACCTTAGGGATGGATTTCATCAACTCTCTCATCCTTGGGTGCCACAACACCATGGATGAGCGTGGTTGCTCTAGGAGGAATGCGCCTCCCATCGCTTGGACTGCCCAAAGCAGCAGGCAGGTCCTACAGGGTGGGAAAGCTGCATGGAGAGGAGCGAGGAGCTATCTTGGTGACCACCAATAACAACAGTTATGACTCGACCATCTCTTTTCTTGACTTGGAATAACCAATCTGGGTTCAATTGGGTCAATTATAAATTGAAAGGTCCCAACTGCATCAGTACCAGGAATATTCCAAACCCACACTCCTACTGCAAAGTAGGTTTCCTTCGGCCACTGAAGGGGCACAAGTATTGCCTAGAGCATCAAATGGCCACCTTCGATTTGTCCCCCGGTTAATGGCCACAAATGACCGGCAAAGTAGTCCAACCAAGACGAAGAAGTTGTCCATTCGACAGTTCAGCACGCAAAGGAGTGCTAACCTCAAAGTGGCAGGGGCTATACATGGATGTCTAAATTTCCGAAAGTATTAAGTATGATCTCTTGGAGGAGGCCCGGCAACACAATACATTATATGCATATATAGGCAAGTATATTTTGACATAAATAAATAATTGGGTTTTGTATATTGGTCAGTAACCAGTAATCCCTCATCGGCATATATTTCTGGGCAATACTCCGCTTATTCTTTCCAAAGTGGCTTCATGGGAATTTAGTTCGGGTGTGACAGTAACCAAAAAAAAGGCATGGGATTATTGCCACACCTCTGTCAAGATGGCAATTGGAGAGACCACTAAACAAAAGGTAGAACTAGGATACAGCTAAGGAACAGGAAGCCGGAATCAGATAACAAATCATAATAGTTCTGTTTGCCTGGCTCTGGTCGGCCAAACAATATATCCAGGGAGGCAGTATTGTGTCCACCACTGCGCATGCATCGGGACACCCAAGCAGCTCCTGCAAAAATCTCCACAAACGAAAATGCCTCAGCACATCAGATATGGGGTATATAGATTTTTAGGTGACTGACCTTTTCTCACTTGTAAGCCATTGAACTTTGGGAAAACACCATCAGAGGTTTCTAAACATGTGACATATCTAAAAACATCCGGAAAGTATGCCTACAATGGGAATCAGCAACCTTCTAGTGAACATGTGAAACTTTCCAGGGATTCACCATACCCAGACCCATAGTATGTTTGGACAATCTCATTTCTTGGGTGCCCGAAGTAACATCCCCTTTGCAAACATGCTGCTTCTGCAAACACCGTGATACTGTCCATGTGGGCAAGCATGATGATCAGCGACATCAGTATCTGTCAGGGGTTTGGCAGCCACTAGGGTAACGGAACCCTCAATCCCCTTAATCTCAGGACAAGATATGTGGCCCAAAATAAGGGTTCGCAAACACATTGTTGTGGACCATTTTTGCTGGAAACACTTACAGTAAATGTTTCTGGTGCCATTTTTTTATCGGAAACTATTGAAAAAATAAAAGACTATGTTGAAGCCACCTGGAATAAGATTATGTTGTTTTATGTTGTTTTCAATCCTGGCCTTCGGAGCCTTTAGGACATGTAATCGCTTGATCACCAAGTCCAATTTTTTGGCGGTGTTTCCAACCCCAACAGCCATGACGCCGGCCCACCTTCTAGGTAGATGGTCTTTGACCGCTTTTGAACCCAAAGTTGATCTAACAGGGGAACTTGGGAATCCATCTTTGCCAAGCTTCCACAACCCCGAAAACCTACAAAGCCTTGAATGCCACACCATTTTAAACATTTTTAAACAAGTCTGGAAGACGTGGCAAACGTAAATATTCGGCATTAGGCAACAACCGCCGTCTCCACGCTTGGCCACGGTCCATGGCGGCAGGCAGACGACTGACCTGAGGGCACGGGGCCAGAGGATGAGAGACCCGGATGGGGGATGTGTGAGGTGGGGAAATGCCAGTAAGAACCGAACCCACCAAATAAGTACACATTTTTTCCCGCTTACTTGTCTACTTGGCTCATGCGGGGGATGCTTCTGGAAGCTTCCATCGCTGGAGAGTTTGAAGGCTAAGAATCCCAAATCCACCCCATAATAACCTATAAATTCTTATTTAGTGTTTTAAATTGTCAACTGTATACTTGTTTGGGGTATTTTGGGGTCTAAATAAAATCTAATGCAGTTTAAATCAAAAGCTTCCATGTTGCCCTCTATCCGCATGATCCCAAATGGTGGAACTACCTAGATACGTCGATCTAAACCTTTAAGCATAAGTGCCATCACCTGAATATTTCAAATGATGGCAAACCCCAGGGTTGAAAAGCAAACTGTCACTTGTGTGACTGATGGACCATGGCACCCCACATGTCTCAAAAACACTTTCCGTCGATACACAACAGATGGCCCAAAGTCCCAAAGGGCAGCTAGTGAGTCTAGTGAGATTGTGAAAATGGCTCAATGGTTCCAAGATGTTGGAAGATTGAAGAAATATGCAAGTGCTTACATGTGGGCAACAGGCCACTGTCCACAACATGGTTCCTTCAGAACCTACAGCGGCACAAGCTCATGCTCAGCAATGTAAGCGTCAGCGGCTGCAGCAGCAAGGCTCTGGACATTCTCCTCATTGATGTCCTTGCCCTTCCACAAAGACATGGCATGCTTCCAGAACTTGTCCTGGTAGCGGAGCGAAAGACAGAAATACAGAACACGACCTATGGATATGGAGCTCACAGTTTGCCTCCGCACATATTCAGAAGAGCCTGTAAAACCAAAGGACATGAGAGGGTCCATAAGTGCTTACTACTTTTTTCTAGTTAGAAGAGGAAGCACAACCAAACAAAATTCATTGTCAAAAACATGTTGTGGCGGTGACCCAACCCGTCCTCGTGCTTCGACGGCGAATGCACGCATGGCCAAATGGTCTCGTTGAATGCCCACTTCAAAGCATCAAACTTCAACCCATTGGCGGAAGTACGGTACCTGCGGGCAAAGGTCTTCTGAGAGCTGTCTGCCTTCTCAGCGACCACCGCTGGCTTCGGCACAACCTGGGGAGGTTCCTCTGCATTGGTCTTCTTCAACTTCTTAGCTACGTGCTTGGGCACTGCTTTCTTCTCACTCTCCACAGGTGGCTGCTCGGCCATCGCCTTGGACTCCTCGGGCTTGTTCTTTGCCTTGCTCTTGGCCTTCTTCTGTGCAGGCTCCTTCTTCTCCTCAGACGCAGCCGAAGGAAGAGCATCCACTGAAGGTGCACAGGTTCTCTTCCGTGACTTCCTGGGAGGCTTCTCACCGTTCGGCTTGTCAGCCCCTGGCTCTGCAGCAGCAGTCTCGCCAACATGCTTGGTCAGCTTCATCTCATCTCCCAAATCCGGCACATCGCCTTTGACTTCGGCTTTCTTCCCCTTGCCTCGTCCTTTTCCTCGTCCTTTGCCTCGTCCTTTTCCTCGTCCTTTGCCTCGTCCTCGGCCAGTAGTAGGTGTCGCGTCCTCCTGGGGGTCACCCTGCTTCAAGCCAAGCTGCTGCCGGCGCAGCAGAACCTGAGCAGTGAGCAAAGGGAAAGGGGAAGCAAATGAAAAATAGTGGACGACTGGATGAAGGGTTGCTCAACCCTGTTGCGAAAACCAGCTATACCTTGGAGAGATGAAAATCACATGCCTCAAAAAAAAAACATCAGCCAAATGGGCCCCGCAGCCGATGGTGCTTCAGCTGCGGTCTCAAGCTCAAGGTCCGCCTCCACAGCATTGAACTTCTCCATCAAGTTCTCAAGTGCGCCAGCGGGCATGTCCATTGTCTCGGCATTGTCCTGCCCATATGGGAGGGAATCTTCAACCTGGATCACTTCATCATTGCCAGTGGTCGAAGAAGCGACAACATCTTTGGCACATCGCTTGCTTTTCAAAGCCTTGTGCGCCTGACGCAGCTCTTTCAGCTTTGCCTTCAAGCTGTCCATGGTAGTAGACGAAGGACCACCATCTGGAAAGAGAGGAAGGCGCTTGTCCTCTGCAATGCGCTGTTCGTCTGACTCCTCATACTGGGACTCTGCTGAAGCATCAACCAGGCCACTGAAAACATGGGATTTGCCTCGGCTGAGGGCCACAGGCTTGTGGGATTCAGTGCCATCACTGGATGGGTCACTAAGGTCCTCAGCGGCCGATTCAGCAGCTTCAGCCAGCTCCATGCTTTCAGCTGCAGGTTCCACCAAAGAAGTCGGCTCATCATCGACGGGTTCAATTGGATCATCAAAAATGCTATTCACCTCGACACTGGGTCCATCCTCCACCGGAGGGACCATCTCGTCATCCACCGTAGCATCCATCTCCTCATCGCTGACATTGATCTCGACAGAAGAGGGGGCAGGTGAAGATGGTGCCGGATCCAGGCCATCATCGTCCGCATGTGGATCCTAACGGTTTGGGAAGCGAGGTTGCAGACAACAGCATGTCATGTCTATTCACTGGATTCCTTCTCCATGGGTTTCCCGGGACAGTTTAACAGAAGAAAAACCAGTAATTAGGAAACTATGTTTTTTACTTGGAAAAAAGGCATGCTGATGATTTCTTCTCTTTCTAAACTGTCCTCCTCTTCACCTTCCTGATTGTCAGGTTCTTCAGGTGGTTCAACTCCCATGGCGGCAGCCATCAGCAAACGGAAAGAACGGTTCTTTGGCCACTGTCCCCGGCTGATCTTCTTCTTGACTAGCACGCAGCAGCCCTTGACAAACCATGCCTCCACCTTAAGCTGCTTGCGGCCGACAGGCATCGATGCTGTGTCGAAAAGGCAGCTCAGCCTGTCAGCCGGGGCAAGAAACAAAAACCATGCACATGGTGAGGGGTGGAATATATGCCCTATGGTTGGGAAATCCAGGCCTACCCTTGGGTTTTTGACGACAACAACAACAATGATAACAACAACAGATTTCAGGCAAGAAACTCAGACTCCACTTGTGGAATGTTGACCATACCAATTGTCTGATCAGGAAAAGCCAGCCGCTTCATGATGGGAAGCAAGGCTGCCACATTGAACCCTGCACACTCTACTGAGGATTCCAGCGCTTCCTTACCCGGCAAAAGGGCAAACACAGAACCAGTCTTACGGAGAAGGGACCGAAGCTTCCTGT